TCATTAACATTCTCAGAGTTTACATCCCTGCACTTCCTGAGGCTGTGTGCTCACGCCAGAGCTTTCCAGCGTTTCCTGTCCGATGAGTTGCCGACTGCAGCCCGTTCCGTGCCGGGTGCTCCGCAGTGCCCGTGGTCCGTGTGCACTCAGCATGTGTCTGCCCGGGCCGGCTGCTTTCCGACGTACCACATCCCCACCTCCAGCACCTCCCGGCTCGCTCTCTCTGCTGCTCAGTTTTGCTGCTCTTCGTGTCATGGCATCACTGCTCTCATGCCCGGGGTTTTGATTCTGAAAGCACACCAGATCGTTCCTTAGAATGATGAAATCCTTGTTGTTGTCATGAGGGAAGCTCCTGATTTGTGTTTGTAGCAGGAAAAAAGCCTTTTTCCCCACAGGAACCTGGTCACTGCTTTTCAGGCCTGTTTTGCTGCGCAGCGACCGCACGCACGGCGGCGGGGCCGTGGGGGCAGCTCAGTACCAATATCATCCGGGCAGATTATCTGGGCTTTTTGACATGAAAGTGTTCCCAGTGCTTCCTTCAAGGGACAGACGAGGCGCACGCTCTGCGGGGAAGAGCTCTGGTCTCATTTTCCTGCCCGCCGTGTGTCCCAGGCAGCCCCACGCGAGCGCTGCCCCGGCCCGTGCGGACAGGAGCACACCCACACCTCTTTGGTTTGTACTCTCTGACCTGGAAACTTGCCTTGCCTTCACGAAAACCACACCGGTCATGCTGGCCTATTGAGCTGTCCTAACCCGGGAATTCACTCTTCCCGTTTTCTTTTGGGGCAACGTGTTTGTGAACAGTGAAGACATCACTATGCTATGCAAACTAAGTGCTGAGCCCACTGATGTCACGTTTGGTGAAGATCCTACGTTTAGCACGGTCCTGTTTTTCCTCAAGACCACAGTGTTTGGTTCATATTCTCCTTTGCACCTTGTGTCAACCTCCACTGCTGTATATCCTCAAGGTGACGAGGAGGAGACCGGGAACTATCCATGGTCAGTAGGTAGGGAACTCTTAGGAAGGCTTTTAGAGCGTAGGGAACGCATCAACACTAAGTGTCAACATGAGAAGCCTACATTCCTCTACACAAGTGCCTGCATAGTGACACCAATCAGCACCTCCATCTCATCCTCCGAACTCTGGCTTGTGTTCATTGAAAGCAAAGCGATCTCAGAGGGGCTGTTCCCGCTCACCTGGTGTTAGAAAGCTTCTCATTAAGAATAAAATCGGGGTCAAGGTCAAGGTTCTCTCTGCAAATCAGTTTGTTCACCAGCATTACAACAGAACACGCCTGGCTGCTGCTCTGCAGCGAGGGGCAAAGGGATTTTGGTTCCTTGTTTTTATTTTAGTGTTTTAGTTGGGTCTAGAACTAAGAAATGTCTTTTAGTAGCTGTGGCATAGCACGTGCCATTTTTAACCATTTGAAAAGAGATAGTGTGGGTATTTACAGAAACAGCTTGTTGCTCTGTAACAATTTTTTTTAACCTTGAGACTTGAAATGTAAAATGGACCTTTAAGATTTGCACTCATTTGTAAGGTGGCTGTTCATAGAAAACTATGAATGAAGACTTGCTGATGTAGCACCTACTTTTAACAGCAATTTTAACTACACAAAAGCTTCACAGCTTCTGAAACTCCTAGCTGTTGACTTGCAGATCGTGTTCTGCCCTGATTTCACCCTCTGCATTGGGTTTTCATGGTTTTGGATAAATAAAAAAAGCCAAACTCAGTAGCTGCTGTGCCCTGTAAACCCAGTTTCCACTCTGAAGAACTTTAGAGAGGTTGGAGTGACCCGCATGTTTTCTGTACCAGACTATGCACCGTGCCCTCTCCGCGCTCCGGCACCGGCGTTTCCCCCTTCCTTGTGCGAGGTGCAAACGAGTAGCTGCATGTTGAGGTGCGTTTTGCTGCCGTAGCCGATAGGTGTTCCCCAGGTACATGCCAGGACTGTAGTTAGCCCCAAGCCCCACACGGACACCCCGATCGGCTCCGAGCCTCTGCCTCCTCCGCGCGCACGAGTTCGTCTGCGGCTGGAAGCGTCGCTGGGTGCATGCGGTTCTGTGGGAAGAGGAGTAGCTTTCATTTACCTGTTGAACGCTGTCGTTCCCTTATCTCAGACCTGGACAGAACGGGGCGGGAGGGCTGCTCTGCCCTCTCCCCGCAGCTCCAGGGCGCTCGGTGTGTTCTGGGACCGCGCGTGTCCGAGCCGATGTCTCAGTGTCACCCGGCGTTGCCTCGCCGGAGGTTTTCTTCTTGGAAAATCAAGTGTGAAATAAAAGAATGTGATTGTTTCAGGAAGGGAAGCCAGACAGCAGGAGAGCAATAAACAAGTGAAATTCATATCTTGCCTGAGTGATTTGCACTTCAATAGTTGTGAAAGAAAATTTCCAGGACTCCAGTGCTTTTGTGTTCGATTTCCAGCCCCTTTCGTACCTCCTTTCTATGAGCAAGTGTGGGACTGTACATAGGGTGTTTACAGGATGCTCCCTTTGGGTTGTTACTTTTCTCGTGGGTTTTTTTTGCTCTAGCTTGAATTCTGTATGGTCCATTTGTTAAATAGCCGTGAACAGTTGATGTACAGTACTTACTAAACAAGCAGCAGCACAAAACTTATTTTATTAAGAAAATATGGCTTATATTTTAAAGGTTGAATATCAATTTTTTTTTGTATGTGTGGAATTAAGACTGGTAAAGAGTAACAAAATCCTTGGATTAGGCCAAAAGAAAATACTGTAAGATCATAACCACCTCTTTATTAAAGAAAGCAGTATGATTAAAGAGTTCCAGAACATTGTATTTATATTGGATTTGATTTAATTGCCTTTGTGGATTTTATTTTTTTTTTGCCTTGGTCCTGATTTTTGCTTGCAACTTCGACTTTGCAGTCCCAAGTGTCTGTTACCCTGTAACTGTTGGCAGAAGACCTAAATAAAAGCAATGTGAATATGTCGGGGTGACACTCCTGAGTCACATCGTGTGGGGAAGGGACATGCGCATCCCGTTCCCTCGGGAAAGGCTGGGGACAAACAGGGAAACGCTGACTGGAGCTGAATTGCATCAGATACTGCAGAGGATCCAGCACCCCTCACTGTCCAGATCTGCATTTAACGAGAGAAACGCTTCAGTGGACAAATACGTGCTTAAAACTTCTGGGAATACAGTAGCCAGTTCTACTTTTTATTAAAATGTCACCTGAGAACTGACTGAACTGGGGCTCCTGGGTTCTGTCAGAAAGGGACATCAAAATCTGCTGCTCCTGCAGCCTCACCGAGTGCTTTGGGGGCTGCTGGCTCCAAGGTGCTTTAAGGACAGACTTCAGACTCCTCTTGGATTGAGGTTAAACTTGATCCTCTGGGTTTCTGTAGTGCCTCATGTTTTACATTTCCCATCCTGTTTTACATTTCCCATCGGGTTTTACATTTCCCAGCTTCAGAATTCTTGCAAACATCCTAGTCCTCTCCAGTGCCAACAGCTTAGGGTTGACTTTTAGGGTCCAGAACTGGAGGTTGTTTCCATCCTCTGAGTTTTTTGCCCGTGTTTTACCTCACGAAGGTGCAGGCACAGACCTTTCCCGATGAATGATTTAGCAGTTGAGCTGTAACTGGGTTTCTGAATAATGCCAAGGAATTTTAAGGAAGTGCTCGCTAATGGCAGGCAGGCAGGCACTCGTTAGTTAATTACCTGAAGTGCAGCACCAGAACGTTCTGTCCTGAGCTGGGCAGCAGCACAATCCTGCACTCATCGGCTGCTTTGTGGGTATCACCTCTTTGAAATGAGTTCTGCTACACAACAGAAATCTCCTGCAGTTTTAAGGGGGCTGCTTCTGTGAGAGGTTTAACAGCAAATCGTGCCTCGTGCAGCTGGGTCTGGAGTCCTGGAAAACGGGTTGGAAAACTGGTTTCGGGTGTTAGATTGGCATTTGAGCCCTGGCCCTGGTTCTGGTTACAGCTGCGGGACCAGACGTGCTGCCCCTGAGGGATGTGTGTGTACAGGGATCCCTCCCTCCCACATATCTGCTTCATCTTGCTGATCACATTCCCCCTCCCTGTTCCGGATTTCAGTTAAGGAAATTCTCTAGTAATTTACCTTTAATTTGCATGGGTTTAGAAACCTTACCGTGGGGCTCACTTAGGTTTTTACAGACTTCATTTTTAGCTGAGAGTCTCCAAGATGGTCATTCTTAATAATGACCCTGAAATTTGGATTTTGAATCTCAAATTCCTGCTGGCCCAAAGTTCCAGTTCTTCACCTGTTTCCCTGGGGATGAGCCTGTCTCACCATCAGAAAAGGTGACTTTCCGTCACAGGTAGCACTTGAACAAGTCTCAATTCACTGTCCTTATGAAAAATGATCTTCTGGGGGCAGAGGAAATGAGAAAGGTGCCATTGCCTAACCCAGCAGTGAGCCTGGTACATCTGAATCACAGATCCTGAGCTGGAAGGGGCCCCAAGGATCACGAGTCCAACCCCTGGCCCTGCACACACACCCCAACAATCGCACCCTGCCCCTCAGAGCGCTGCCCAAACCCTCCCTGATCTCTGTCGGCCTCGGGGCCGTGCCCACTGCCCTGGGGAGCCTGTTCAGTGCCCGCCCCCCTCGGGGGGTCCGTGTGTCCCACGTCCCGCAGCTCCGGGGAAGCGTCGGCGTGTCCCGGCCCGGCCACGCGTGCGGGGGGTGCCCCAAGGCCGCTCCTCCCGCACGGCCGGACCCGCTCCGGGGGATCCGCCGGTACCTGCGGGGGTCCCCCCGCACCGCCCGGGCCGCGCCCCCCCCGTTCCCGTGGCAACCGCGCCGGCCCCGCGCCCCTCCCGCTTCCGCTTCCCCCGGAAAGGGCCGGGGCGCGCGCGGGGGCAGGGGAAGCGCGGGCGGGATTTCCGGCGGGAGCGGGGCGGGAGCGGCCGCGCGGGGAGCGGGGCTGGGGGCGGCCACGCCACTTCCGCCGCCGCGCCAGGGCCGGCAGCGCCGGCACCGCCGAACGCACCGGGACCGCCCGGCAGCGGCACCGGGACCGCCCGGCAGCGCCACCGGGACCGCCCGGCAGCGCCACCGCGAACGCCCCGAGCGCGGCGGGGGAGCCGCCGCCCAGCGCAGCCCCGCGCCCGCCGCCGCCGCAGCCCCCGAGCGGCTGCGCCCCAGCTCCATGAATGGAAATCGGCAGCGCAGGTGAGCCCGGGCCTGGCGGGGCCCCCCGCGCCGCTCAGCCCCCCGCGCCGGGAGGGGCCGGGAGGGGCCCGGCGGGCACGGCCCCGGTGCCGGCCGAGCGGGTCCCCGCGGGGCCGAGGGGACGGGCGGTGTTTCATAAGCGGAGCGCCCGCCTTGCGTAACCCGCCCCGAGCCGGGACCGGCCCGGGATGGCTCCCCGGGCAGCTCCTGCCGCGCACGGCCCCGCCGCGGAGCACGCTGAGCTTTAGGGCTGAGTGCTGCTCCTCTGGCTGTGCTGCCCCTCTGGGTGCTGCTCCTCGGGCTGTGCTGCTCCTCTGAGTGCTGCTCCACGGCCGCCAGGGTGGTTGTTGCCCAGAGAAGCTGTGGCTTCCCCATCCCTGGGAGTGCCCAAGGCCAGGCTGGACGGGGCTTGGAACACCCTGGGCTGGTGGAAGGTGTCCCTGCCCATGGCAGGGGATGGGACTGGATGGGCTTTAAGGTCCTTTCCAGCCCAAACCATTCTATGAGGATCTTCACATTTTGGCCGTTTGATCCCTTTGCCAGGGAAGCACGTGCTTGGTATTAAGCTTTGTGTTTTAAATGGGTTTTGAGTATCAGAGAGGGAATTTCTGCTTTAGTTTGTTGAAAGAATTTATCTCCAAGGTTGGCAGAACACTTCAGGTGTGGGCAGTGTTTAATCAGCAGTTCCCTGATGAACCTGGATGGCAAAGGGAACGTCCAAAGCCACCTGGAGTTCTGTATCACACCAAGAGGTGCCACAGGTAGTGAAGATATGAGACTGAAGGTGCCAACCCAAGCCATGCCTTTTCACCTCCATTGTAGATCCTTTTGTAACTTACTTGGAGATTTAAAGACAAGGATGGATTTGGCTGGAAAAACTCCCTCTCTCAGCTGCTGCCTGGCTTAATGAGGAGTTGAAAATATTTTGGGAAGATGCAGGATTTTAGCAGACTGGTGGAATTCAGATGATGCACTCATACCCCATGTTAACTGTAATTATAACCTGGTGCAATGGTAGTTGTCTCCTGATAAGCAGATTTGCAAGAGCAGCCCATAAACCCTTTAGTTTCCCTTTGGAATGAGTTTACCTGTTGTTGGGCTGCAAGATGTTGGAGTTTAGCAAATCTGAGTGTTCCTGGTGGGCTCAGCCGGTGTCCAGCGCAATGGGTGACTCTTCCACCTCTGCTGTGTGATGAGGGAAGCCTTAAGTGTGATGTCTTGGGGTGTTGGAACAGGAGGGCACAAAACATCCTTGGCAGAACAAAGGAGGGTTAAAGCTCTGCCATCAAAAGGAGGACACTGAGACGTGGTTCCTTTTTTGTGTGTGAAGGGAAAACATGGGATAGAATAAGCAGGAGAGAGCAAAGATGGGGGTGTGAGTGTCCCTGGAGTGTGGAAGTGTGTGCAGGTACCTCTCAGGTGAAGCAGTGCTGTAGGTGATGTCCTGTTTGTGTGAGAGGCTCAGCCTGTGAAATCTAGAAAATATGGAATTGGAACATGGCTTAAAGCAGGAGCAGGATGTGAAGGTGGCTGCTCAAGGTGCAGGTTGTGTGTGAAGTCAAAATAACTGAGGAATGGGAGCAAAGTGTTCACTGGGAGAAGGTACAGTGGAGGAAAAGCAGCTCTTGGTACTTGAATCCAGTGACCCACACTGCACTTCCACCAGGAGAACAGGAACTGAACTTCCAAAAGGCAGAGACATCAACCAGCTGGGGATGCTCCCTGGTGTAACCGAGCTGGATCAGTGCTGTGTGTGCCTTTATTTCCATGTCATGCATTGTTCCTTCAAAGCTCGCAGTTAAAAGTGTTGAATTGCTGTTTGGAGTTTTTGCTCTGTTTTTTAACAGGCATTTTTAATATTCCATTTGCTTTTCTGTACAAACTTAGGTGCAGAAAATCCTGAGAAGTTGCTTTTCTGAGTTCAGAGTAGTGATCTGGGAGGCCCATTAAAAGTCCCATTTTTGTGGGTGGGGTAGGGGAGGGAAGGGGGTGATTCATAGGTGCCTTCAAAAGTTACTCTGTGCTGTGAGATACAATGGCAGATTTCCTCTGGAGTTGCTGTGGAAGCTGTTTGACTCACAGTGTGAACTTTACAAATTGTTTCATCCTCAGAGCTTTGCTTCCTGGGGCGGGAAGGTGTCAAGAGTATTTCTTGAGCTAATTTTTACCTTCCTGATTTTGGTCTGTGGAAATACCTTCCAGGGAAAAGTCTTCCAGGGTTTGTGTGGGCTGGCATGCTCTCTTCTCCCAGAGCAGCTGGGTATTAACTTCACTATGTGCATATAAGCTGCTGTTTCGAGCTTCAAGCTCTTAGTATTTAGATTTTTTTTAATGGCTCAGAAGCATTTATTGTCTTGTAAATTCTCCCCAAACACTCCAGTGTGTTTTCTGTAACTTCATTAGGCCAGAAGGAGTTACCACACCAGTGTTTGCTTGTGCAGTTGGCAGTCACTGAGCATGGCATCAAAATGTTGGCTTTTTTAACATGGCTTAATACCTGAAACCTTGAAAAAAACCACCCCAAACCCTAAATTGCAAGGAGGAATGTTTAGGAAACGTGGATTGCATTACTCATGAATAATGTAATGCCACCCAGCGAGGCCCAGCAACAGAAATGAGGCAATTCTTGATTTCTGGCAGGAGGGGCTCAGTTACTGAAACCAACGTTTGAATCTGATCTTCCCTCTGTATTTTTTTTAATCTAGAATTAGGTTATTTTTTGGTAGTGTTAGGCTTTTCTTAGAGCTCCACAGGCTGGGCCTCTGAGTCCAGGCAGAGGCCAGGGGCCCTCTGCAAGGGAATCTTTTATTTTTCCCCCTCCATGGGGAGCTCTCCTGGGTGCAGCTCCAGCCTGAGGCCGGGATCTGTTCCACAAATCTGCCTCATGGTCCTGAGCCAGAGTGTAAATTGTATTTTACCTGCTCAGGCCTCGATGATGTCTTTTGGGCTGTTCCATCACCCGTTCAGTTAGAAATTTAGACTGGTTGTATAAACAAGAATAAAACTACTGAGTTACCTCTGGTAATACAGATCGGTTTTGTGATGCTGAAGCCACGGTAGGAGAGAGGATAGTTTTCTGCTGGAAGGCCTTTCTGTAAGGAAAGGATCACGCAAGGAAATCTGCGTTTCCTATGAGCATCCTGCCAGGGCTCAGGATTCTGCTCGGTGCTGTAAGACTGCCGTGCCTGCCAGAGGCTTCAGTGGTCCGTGCAGTGCTGTGCTGGAAGCAGCTGCAGGTTTGGGAGCCCCTGCTCGCTGTGCTTGGGCTTCACTCCGAGCAGGGCTCCTCTGGTTGCCAAGGTGGATGCAGGCGGTGTTTGGACTCGGGCCAGGCGTGCTCCGGGTGCTGCCCGAGGAATCCCCGCCCGCCCGGGCCGTGCGAGCCTGATCAGAACATCGATAATCCCTCGGAGGGAAAGATCTGCATTCAGAGCTCCTTGAAACCTTTAGAGGGACTTCCACAGGGGGCCAGAACCGGGCGAGCTTTAAGGTCCCTTCCAGCCCAAACTGTCCCGGGATGTGCTCCCTGGCTGCACAAAAGCTTTCCAAGAATCTGTCCCAGGCACCAGTTTTAGTTCCTCCTTGTGTGTTCATTGTTTTCTGTTATAAATCAGTTGACTTTTAGTGCTGGGGACTTTCCTGAGCTGGTTTTATGAATTGGACTCTGCTCTGGCATGCTGAGCAGGCTTGGCTTAGAGGGTTTTCCTTGGGTTTTTAGGAACATCTTTGGTGTTTACCTTAAGGGAGCAGACAAGAAAGATGGAGAGAGGCTGTTTACAAGGGCCTGGAGTGCCAGGACAAGGGGGAATGGCTTCCCACTGACAGAGAGGAGGTTTAGGTTGGTTGTCAGGAAGAAATCCTTCCCTGTGAGGATGGGCAGGCCCTGGCACAGGTTGCCCAGAGAAGCTGTGGCTGCCCCATCCCTGGAAGTGTCCAAGGCCAGGTTGGACGGGGCTTGGAGCAGCCTGGGCTGGTGGAAGGTGTCCCTGCCCATGGCAGGGGGTGGCACTGGATGATCCTTAAGGTCCCTTCCAGCCCAAACCAGTCTGTGATTCCATGATATGGCTGTTCCTGATGCTGTAATGGCAGAGTATAATGGTTTCTCCAACACAAAGAAGTTCCTACTCCAAAATTTGCGGGCAGCTGAGCAGGGCAGAGCTGCTGTCTGGAAGCAGGAACAGCAGGAGGAGGCCCCGCAGTGCTGCTGCTCTGACAGAGGTTTTTGAGGCTTTGGCCACTTGGTTTTCGCAGTGGTTCAGTGACTCAGGGGAAGGAGTCCTGAGCTCTGCAGATTGGAGCCACTTGGAGTATTTTTGGTGTGTGTTTATTTCCATGAGTTTGACACAGGACTCAGGCATGAGGTGGGGTGAGTCACCGAGAGCTGGGCAGCAGCTCCGTCCCCAGAGCGTCGCTGCTTATTTGTGTTTTACTGGGCTTTGAGTCACAGCTTTGAAGCCAGTGACACAGACTTTCACAACACACAATCTGGCAATTCAGAGAGTCTCTGGAAAGCGGGATCTTCTGAGTGGGCAGTAATGGCAGAATTGACTTACAGCATGCTCGGGTTTTTTAAGTTAATTTGTCCGAGGGAACATTTGTTCAATGACAGCAAAATAGCTGAATTTTTAAAAATTGTGCCTGAGCGGCGTGCAGACCTGCACTTCTTATTCATTTATTGGTCACTTAATCCCTGATTGCCAAAATCTGGATTTTAACTCCTTCCAGGTTGAGCTGGGCGAGGGGTACACAGGGCAGACCAGACTAAAATAACCTTTTTATCTTTATTTCAGCAGTTTTGTTAGTCTTTCCCACAGATAGGAACTAAATATAAACAAACTATGATGTGTATGTCTTTGGAATATTAAAATGAGCTATTGAGTCCTTTATGCCACTCAAATGTTTAGTAGTAACTGCTTTTTGCATATGCTTATTATATTCTGCAGTGTAGCTGGAGTGAATTGTAGAGCTGCTCGTGCTCGTGTGAGAGTATTAAAATGAAGGGAAAGTTGAAGAGAGCAGATGCTTGGAACAAGTTTTGCATAAGCAGAGTCTGTGAGCGGGTTTTAAATGATGCTTCTTGGTTTCTGTTTTGTTTTATCTCGTGGCTCCACGCCAGCCTTGCTCAGAATTTTTCGGGAGGTTTCTGGGTAGAGCCAGACAAATGTTACAGGGGAGCTTGGCTTTGATGTTCACCTGTTCTCAGGACACAGCTTCCTTCAAGACAGCACAAGTTCTTTTTCCAGGAATTATGAAGATTAATCAGAAGGCAAATAAAAAACATTTTTCCCAGCACTTGACATTTTAACTCTGCAATGAAAACGAGTGGGCTGGAATCGCCTGCGTCACCGAGTGGGAGGAGAGGGGAGAACTTTGCACTCACTCAAGTGCTCTGTAAATCAGGGCATTTGTACCACCAGCAACTTCTTATAATTCAGGCTACAAAGCATTTTGGGTTTGTTGTTGCTTCTTGACTGGAAAGAGGTATTTTTAAGTGGAAATACAATTCTTGGAAATGGACTGTGTTTACTACTGTGTTTGGTTTGTAAGGCATGAATAATGCAGATCTGGAATGCAGGATTCTCATCTAAATGGGGCAGAGTAAATTAAATAGAGGAGAATGGAACAGATTACTGGGCAGGTGTTTTTAGCTGACTTTCAAAATACCCATCTCATTGCAGATTTGGATGTTTCTCTGAGCAGCTCTGAGTGTTCTCTAGTCTGTGAGTAATCAAGAGTTTTACAATCCTGTGTCTTAATCTGAGTCTTTACTCTTCAGGCAAATTGGCTTCGTGGGGGCAGTTAGACAGGAGGTAATGGTCTTACTCTTCATCCATTTTCAGCCAGCAAAGTTCAAGAATAATCTGTCTTCCGAGACCAAGCTGATAATGGCACTGAAATGAGGAGTTTGTCACAAACCATGTGCGTCAGTCCAGAACTACTAATGCATTTTTGTACTCTGCAGCCACTTTGTTATTACCAGGGTGTTCAGGACAGACTGGTAAAACTTCCTCTGATATTTTTGCGGGGTGTTTTTGTTGTTTGTTTTGGTTTTTACCTGGTTGATTTTTGTTTAGGAAATCTCCTAACCAAAATCTCCTGGTTTTATTCATGGTAACCACAGAAGCTGAAGCTCATCAGTAAAAGAACAGCCCAGATGTGGGTGGAGGCTCCAGAATTAAAAATGGGCAAATGTTTGTCTGGAATTCCACGGGCAGCAGGCTGTTGGATGCGTGCTGTTGGAGGCAGCTGATTTCCCAGTTTCCTGAGTGCTGGCTGTGCTGCCAGCCTGGCTGTCCTGGGAGCTGGTTCAGGGCATTGTCTGTTGTGCTTCCCTCCTAATCTGTGGGTTTTTCCTTCCGCAGGACCCGTGGGGGCACAGCCCCTGCTCATGGTGCCCAGACGTCCCGGCTATGGCACCATGGGCAAGCCCATTAAACTGCTGGCCAACTGCTTCCAAGTTGAAATCCCAAAGATTGATGTCTACCTCTATGAGGTGGACATCAAACCAGATAAGTGTCCTCGGAGGGTGAACAGGTGAGAAGATGAAGTTTGTCTTGATAATTGTACCAGGGTGAATGTTTAGGAGCATCAGGAACCTTGAAAGGGAGAATTCCTTCCCCCAGCGTCCCAGCTGGGAGGTGAAAGTGCTGCTGCTCATTTAGCTGGAAGTGGAAGTCAGTGTTTATCACCTTCCTGAAGTACTTTGGGTTAATATTGCCTGGCCAGGAAATGGTGCCTGGAAGCTGCTGCTGTGCAGGAATTTTGGTTTGCAGGTGCTTAAGGAAGGTGTTTCCATTCTGTAGAATAAGGGAATTGTGTATCAAGTGAGATATGGTTGTTGTGCCATGGAAGCACAAAGGCTCCCCAAAGAATTCAGATCCTGAGGGCAGGTTTCAGTCAGAGGTGTTGCAAAAGCCTCTCTGGTTCTACTTCCTACTTGCATCGAGAAGCCTTTTTTGTATAAAAATTTTATGGTGTCTTCAAGTCTAATTTCAGTGCTTATATCAGATTAATCTTTATTGCCATCAACTTATAATAAAGCAAGGGAGATGAATTGTGTGCAAATTTGATCAGGCTTTTACTTAATTTTGTGGTAAAAACTCTGGTTATTAAGGACTTAAGGTCAAGACTGTTTTGTTAGGGTACCACATGTTTGTAACCAGTGTAGGCAGAATTCAAAACTCTTGTTAATAGAGGAGCAGGTGAACATTACTGCCAATCATACAATGAGCTGGCAGAGCTTCCAGTTGTGAGTTTGCACTGGTTTTTATCACAATACCATCTCGTGGGTTTCTCCCAAGGTAACTGTGTCCTTGTTTTCCCTAATAAAGGTGACACAAAGGCCTCAGTCATTTCTAGGAGTTTCTGAAATTATTTCAGTTCCAATATTTCCCAATATTTGAGCATTTGCATTGATTGTGGTTTATTATTTATTATTTAGTATTTATTATTTTAGTTGAAGTATGTGAAGCTCCTCTTGGAATTCCAGTGGGTGTTTATAATTCACTGAGTGCTGTTTGTTGAAGCTACTTCAGCAAAACATGGAGGGGGTGGGAGCCAGATCCTTTTGGAAACATCTTCAGTGTAAATATCCCCCTTTCCAGGGACGTGGTGGACTCCATGGTGCAGCATTTTAAAGTGACAATATTTGGGGACCGTAGACCGGTTTATGATGGGAAGAGAAGCCTCTATACAGCCAATCCACTTCCTGTGGCCACTACTGGGGTAAGATAACTGGGGAAACGTTATCCTGGTGGCAGCTTCGTGGGAAGGAAAAAGAAACAACTTCTAATATTGCTGAGTTCAGAAAGACTGGAAGTGTCCTACAGTATCTGTACTGAAACTGAGTCCTGCTGTATTTCCTGCAAGTTCCAGTGTGTGAAAATGTGCAGGTAATAGTTGCATTCAGAACCTCCCCTAGGATTTAGCGGCCACTTTGTACAGCAAAATCTGTCAAACACTCAGTTTTGCAGACTGCAGTACGTGCTCTTACGATGAATTAAAAGAGTCAGACCACGTTTTTTCTGGAATGAGGAGTTTCTGGTTCAAGGGGACAACAAGTGACGTGATTCTCTTCTGTTTGGTCAGGGCCCAGCTCTCTTCACTCTGTGCATTTGATAATGTATTTTATCAAATGTGCTTTGCCCTCAGTGTCTGAGTCTGTGGTCCAGTCGTGGGAAGGAGTGGAAACTCAAGGCTACCAAACTCCAGGTTAAACAGCTGGGTTTTATTTCTTTCTTTCCTCCCCTGCCCAGGTGGATTTGGATGTGACACTACCGGGAGAAGGTGGAAAAGACCGTCCCTTCAAAGTGTCAATAAAGTTTGTTTCTCGGGTGAGCTGGCACTTGCTGCATGAAGTTTTGACAGGAAGAACCTTGCCTGAGCCTCTGGAACTAGACAAACCTATCAGCACTAACCCTGTTCATGCTGTCGATGTGGTGCTACGACACCTCCCCTCCATGAAGTAGGTTCACTGTCTTCCTGCAGTCTGTCTTTACCTGAAGTATCCCCACTGGGACACCTTCATCCCTGTTTCTTCACAGGTGAAAAGGAAAGCTGCTCATTCCCCTTATGCAGCACAGCTGGTGAGCTGAATGGGGAGATTGGTGCAATTGTGTACAAGCTGTTTCTGTAGGCAGGGCAGGTGATGTGTGTGTGAAGTGATCAGGGAACAGGAGGCATTTACAATAGGCCTTAATTGCAAAGCCGAGAGGTTCCATGTGCTGGAGCTCTGCTGTCCTGGGTCTGCTCAGCTTGAGCCCAGTGTCTGCACTTGATGGCATTGACTGTGGAAAGGCAGGAGTCTCTTTAATCCACTGACACCCATCACCAGTGTGAGCTTCTCAGGGCTGAAATACATGGCTGGGACTTGAAACCCATCCTAACCAAGTCTCTTAGTTGTTATTTTTATCTCAGAACCCTGACATTTAGAGGAGTCAATTTTGCTTGATTTGGTCAGTGAGAGTTACTTTTGAAGTTTGCTGGCTTTAGGCACCTGGGTGGCTTTGCCCTGATGGGTTTCACTGGGTGTAACTGGCTCTTAAAAAAAGGGCTTGTGGTTTGATGGGAGCTAGTGTTCCTCAGCTTCCCTGCAGCTGAAGGAAACATGCAGATGTTTCTCTCTGTGCTAATGCCTGTGATTACAAAACTGAGGAGGTGTGGAGGTTCAGGAGCAGCTGTTTTCTGCCAGACAGAGAAGCAGTAGTTCCTCTAGCTCTTTTTTTCCCCCCTAGCTTTGGCTTCTGTCGGTGTATCCTGTATTCAAAAGTTCCTTAGTGAAACGGGCTAAATGGTATTGGAGGGTCAGGGCAGTATAGACAGGGCTGTTGTACAGACTCTGCTGTGATGGAGACTTCACCTTCTTGAAGTAGGAGATCGGGAAGGGTAAGTTCATTTAGTTCTTGATTTGCTGTAAAAACTGAAAGTGGTTGTGCGTTTCTAAAAATAGTACGTGTTTTGTCTAAATTTGAAAGCACTGCAGTGGGAACAGAAGCATTCAGGGTGTATTGTTTAAACTTGCTTCTTGGCGCAGATTCCTGGTGCACAAAATTCCAAAAAATAATAGTGCTGTGTGTTTATAATCTCGATTGCATAAATTTTACATTTGGAAGGCAGGAGCAAAAACGTGTGGCCACCTGTTTCACCAGGTACACCCCTGTGGGCCGCTCCTTCTTCTCAGCTCCAGAAGGCTATGACCACCCCCTGGGAGGGGGCAGGGAGGTCTGGTTTGGATTCCATCAGTCAGTCCGACCTGCCATGTGGAAGATGATGCTCAACATCGATGGTAAGTTGAGATTCAGGGCTGAGCTTCTGACCAGACCTGGATGGGAACAGCTGCCTAGAAGTCCTAGTCTTTTTTTTTCTCTGGATTTGTCATTGTGTCAGTGTTTGAGCAGAAATTTAACTGCCATAAAAAACCTAATATTCCTGCACAGGAAGGAATTGCACATGGCTTGTTTTCCTGCTGAATTTCTGTATTGGTCCATCCCCAGTGACAGGGGCAGGTTGTCTCTGTGCAGCTGTACACTGAGTAGTGCTCAGTATTTCCAAGAAAACTCTGTAAAACGTATCCCAAACACTTCTGTGAATAGGGCTGATTGGGTTGGGCTTTCTTATGCAAAAGCAGATCTGCTCTGCACACTGGATTGAGCCCCAGATGAATGGATCTGAGAGCAGCGGGTGCCTGTGTGAGACTCCTGCCTTCCATGAGCACTCGAGTCTGTTTAGTTTTTAAACCCCCATTGAAAAGTGCCAGTGGTGGAGGTGCAGGTGCTGCCTGAAGTTTCCTCTGATTCACATTCAGTTCTCACTGTCTGAAATGCTCTATAAACCCAGGGTAAACAGTCTGTCTTGCTCTAGGTTAGACAGTCAGGTTGTGTTTCACGTCTGTCTTGGAGCAGAATAAAATATCAGAGATACTGAGCTTTCACACTGAAAATCTGCAAGTCCAAGGGTCAGAGACTGGAGTGGATCAAGGATTGCACTCCCCAATATACCAACACAATTTGTGTGCAGTCAAAGTAGTGCTCATGGCTCTGCCAAATATTGGTTCAGTAATTGAGTAGATTGTATAATTGACAGAATTATATTGCATGTTGAATGATGTTAGCTTTTAATATTAAAAAGTGCAGTAGAGAGATATTAATCCTGTGTCTGCAGCTCCGTACAGAGGTGAAGGGGAATGTCTCTCTGGGGCATTGCAGCTCTCTAGAAATAAGTGTTCTCTGGGGGAAAACCCTTCAAACCCCTGAAATGCAAAGTAGTGGCAGGATGACTGTGCTGGAGACTGATGTGTCACCCTGGGCCCTCCACTGGCATGTGGATACTTCACTGTGGCAGGGTTTGCTGACCTGTTTTTAAACAAGCATTTTTCTTGAGGTTTACGTGGAATTCTAAGGAGCCTCTTCGTTTATGTCCTGCTTCACAACACTCTGACTGGGTTTGGGGTTTTATTTTTACACTCAATATTTTGCTCTCTGTAGTTTCTGCCACTGCCTTCTACAAAGCACAACCCGTAATTCAGTTCATGTGTGAAGTCCTCGACATTCATAATATTGATGAACAACCAAGACCTCTGACTGATTCTCATCGGGTAAAATTCACCAAAGAGATAAAGGGTGAGTAGAAATGGGTCTGTTTAGTCCCAGGTAACACAATCAGAGTAATCCTGAGGGATTTGTTTTAACTGGAAGCCTGGCTAGCATGCATCAGAAGGGCCTGGAACTGCCAAGGGAATTGCAGTATCCATGTTTGCAGTTCCAATCCTGAATGAAACAATGCAGCTCTGCGGAAATGAAAGCTGAAAAACATTCCCAGTGGCTTAGAGGGAAAGAGAGAGCATGTTGTTCATTGCCTGGGCAGAGGTAAGTGGCTGGTGCCAACCCCTCCTAAGCCAGGGTCCCTGAGGCCACCTGGCATTGTGTGTGGGCTCCTGCTGTTCAGATCCTGTGGCAAAGTGAACGCTGATCTCAAGGCTGGCATTGATTCTTTGAAAGAATGCTCTTGCAGTGGCTTCTAATAACTGATGGCCTTGTGGAAAAACAAGTACCACTTGCAGCTGAAGGCCAAATTCCATTCCAAAGGAATTGCATAAGCTGCTGGTTTGAGTGGTTTCACTCCATATATGCTGCTTGGGCTTGCATTTCCCCATATCCTTCATTCCAGTTAACTTGCAGAGAGAGGAGCCTTGAAGGAGCTCAGCTCTTAAACACTCGATGCAAGATTAGACCTTTTACATTTCTCTTTGTTCTGGAGGATGGGTAGCTGGAGAGTGAGGAGCTGCCTCTACTTGATCTCAGGTGCCTCAGAAACTCTGTTACCATAGTCAGAAAATACTGAAATACTGCCTTTGCTCTGAAACTTGTCTTTGCTGCTGTAGGATCTGGGAAATGCAGCCAGGGTGTGACCACACACAGCAAAACAAGCCCTGCATTAAAACCCTGGCAGTGTGTGAGCAGCACCGTGGGAGGGCAGTGCCTTGGTAGTGTCAGAGCAGAGGAATGGCAGAGCAGAGATGGGTTCCAGATATCTGTGTTCACAACCCTTTCTGGGGTCACAGTGCCCCGTGGTTGCTTTTCTTTGTTTTCTCTTAATGCTCTGTCAGGGCAGTGGTGGTTTATTTTTGACTGTACCGTCCTCTGAGTAATACTGATGTTATTGATGCAATTAGTGTTGTCAGGGAGCAAAGTTGGTGATTCTTTGGGATGTCTGTGTCCCCAGTAAACCAAACACAGTCTGCTGTCTGGTACACGGGGACCTGGTTTGGGAGCTGCCACTGTCGTATCATGGGTAGAGATCAGGCTGGAGAGGCTCTGCTCTGTGGGCTGAGCGCTCTGAGATGAAATGCTCAAAATCTGCAGTTAAACCTGGGCAGTGAAATTAAAGAAAGCTGCAGGCTGAATGTGGCCATAAAGCTGGGGGATGGGGGGAAGACAATAAAGTAGAAATTTGAGTTTGCCCTTCTAATTTCAATTGCATTGGAACTGGTAGTTTGAAGAGGGTCGTACAAGACTGAGAATGAGAACAAGAGGATACGGTGAAAACAGGCCTCTGAGTTCAGTCAGTGCCTGTTAAATGAAAGTGCTACAGGAGATTCAGAAGGCACTGAATGTTAAGTGTTACACATCATAATTTCTTTTTGAGGGTAGTAATCAGGATTAGTCAGAACTCAAATTATAATAAAAGCTAAAATGTTTAGAGAGTAATATTTCCTTATGTTTGTGCTATTTGATGCTGCCCCCAAAGCTGTTGTGTTCTGTCATTTGAAACCCTGTGTCTCCTGTGCACATTCTTGGGTAGTTGTGACGCCAGGTTTGGATGCTTTCCTGCAGGTCTGAAGGTAGAAGTGACTCACTGTGGGACGATGAGAAGGAAGTACCGTGTCTGTAACGTAACGAGACGACCTGCAAGTCATCAAACGTAAGAGGCCTTTTGTCAGAGCGTGAAGTGTGTAACGGGACCTCATGGTTCATTAATTTTGGAGATTATGGTATTTGGCAACTGAGATTTTACTAAAATGTCTGTCTTTTCAGCTTTCCTTTACAGCTGGAAAATGGCCAGACTGTGGAGAGGACAGTAGCACAGTATTTCAGAGAGAAATACAACCTCCAGCTGAAATACCCTCACCTCCCTTGTCTGCAAGTGGGACAAGAACAAAAACACACCTACCTGCCTTTAGAAGTAAGGGCCTTACTCTGATAAATCAGAAGGGTTTGGGTAGGGTCTGTCAGTTTGCAAAAAGTTAAGAATCAGTGCTCTTTGCAGTATGAGCTTGTTTGCACATTTACTCTGATTTCACTAAAGACTGTCTGTATTTTAAAGTGCTTTAAGGTTTAGAACTACAGGAAAGAACCTGCAGTTGCTTAGACACCTTGGGGTTGTGGTTTATAGTGACAGCATGGTATTGTGGGTGGGGTGGGGTGGGGTCTGAATGCTCCTGTTGGGAATTAATGCCTCTGGTTTCCCATTCAGGTGTGTAACATCGTGGCTGGCCAGAGGTGCATCAAGAAGCTCACGGACAATCAGACCTCGACCATGATAAAAGCCACAGCCAGGTCTGCCCCAGACAGGCAGGAGGAAATCAGCAGATTGGTGAGTTCCCTGAGCCCAACTCGGGGTGACACTGGGCTAGACTACATCAATGCAAAACTCCTTATATACCAACCTAGGCTTCTCATTCCTTCTTGTCCTTTAACTTAACAGATTGTCACTACTTTATTAATAGGATTTATTTCAAATAGCCCTCAACAATAGCATGAGTCTGTAGTACAGGCTCTTGCATTATCATCTCTACAGTTAATTCCAAGTAGGTGTTTTGTTTACTGGGAGGAAACAAAGTGCTTTTGAATAGGCAAGCTACAAATGAGCACTTCAGTTACAAGTGGGAACCAGAAAGCATGTCATCCAAGATAACTCATGGTAGTAATTGTTTTTACTGGGGATTGAGCAGTTAAATCCGAGCCTTTTCCAGCGAAATTGTTGTAGAACACTCCTGCAGTGTTCCTGCTAGTCTATTGTTTGTTATTTGAATTACAGTCAGATACTTCTGTAACATGGAGAATCTCTTCTTCTAGGTGAGAAGTGCAAATTATGATGCAGATCCGTTTGTCCAAGAGTTCCAGTTCAAGGTCCGGGATGAGATGGCCCATGTGACGGGGCGTGTGCTCCCAGCCCCGATGCTGCAGTACGGGGGACGGGTGAGGCTTTGGCTTTTCCTTTGCTTTCCAGTTTGAGGAGGGATTTCCTGTGCACCTTGACTAAACAGAGATCAGAGTTTGAGTGATAAATTCTTTTTTGTTATCCTGAAACTGCAGATAGCACAGGCAGCTTCTTTGTCAGCCACTTGAGTGTCTGTTGCTTCTGTTTCCCCAGAATCGGACTGTGGCAACCCCAAGCCATGGAGTGTGGGACATGAGAGGGAAGCAGTTCCACACTGGTGTGGAGATCAAGATGTGGGCTATAGCTTGCTTTGCAACACAGAGACAATGCAGAGAAGAAATACTGAAGTAAGGCATGTTGTGGTTCAGGCTTTGGACTGTTCTCTTAATGAAGTGAAACTCAAGTACGGGATTCCTAATGAGCACTTTAATTAATGGGTTAATCATCTGAGGTGTTACAGACAGAACCCAGGCTGGTTTGCTTCCTTGCTGGAAGGTATTGTCAAAACACTGCCTGGAAGCCCCGTGGGGTGTTGGTCCTGTCCCTTCTGGTATCTTGAATGAAATACTTGAAGTGTCTAAATGTTTTGGGGTTTTCCTCCCATTCTGGTCTGTGGTGTTTCACAGCTGCACAGCCCCCACATAGTGAATGTTTTTTTAAAAACCTATTTGGAATCGTTATCATTCGACTACCACAGTTCCTTAGTCCCCTTGTGCTTTGGTTGTTGTGTGCTGCTGCTGCTACTGCAAAAATCCAAAAATGCACTCCCCTTCAGGGGTTTCACAGACCAGCTGCGCAAGATCTCCAAGGACGCCGGGATGCCCATCCAGGGCCAGCCCTGCTTCTGCAAGTACGCCCAGGGTGCAGACAGTGTGGAGCCCATGTTCCGACACCTCAAGAACACCTATTCGGGGCTTCAGCTCATCATTGTCATCCTGCCCGGGAAGACACCTGTGTATGGTAAGGGCACTCCTCTGTCTGTTCCTCTTTGGTCGGGTAGCGTTGGGAGAAACGTGCTGTCCCCAGGGTTTGTTAGAAAATTGTGCAGGACCGTTCTTTGGGCATTAGAAACCAGCGTTTTGTGTCTGAAGATACAATGGAAGCAGGCCTGAGCACGCAGATAAGTCGAAAGTTACTGCAGAGTACGTGCACTGAAATTATTGTGACTCAGATCTAAGATCAAAGCGCAGCAATAACCTCAGATGGACTCAGGTTGTCTCCTCGTATTTGCTTCTCAGCGGAGGTGAAGCGCGTGGGAGATACATTGTTGGGAATGGCCACGCAGTGTGTTCAGGTCAAGAACGTCATTAAAACATCTCCACAGACCCTCTCAAATCTGTGCCTGAAGATCAACGTTAAACTAGGAGGAATCAACAACATCCTTGTACCTCATCAACGGTAAGACTCTGGAGGCTGACTTGGGCTTTCTCTTAACAGATTTGCTACTTAGCACCCAAAATTTAAATGTGGCCAAGTTTTAAGTTGAAACATTCTTCTGGTAATAGTATGTGATATTAGAGGTAGAATTAATTCCTTCCAGCACAGGTTCTGAGTGGGTTGTTGGCCTGTGAGTTCGTTCTTAAGCCAAGTGTGATCAGTATCAAAGTTGAGATGTGAGGCAGTGGTGTGTGGGAGAGTATTTTAAAGGCCCTGGAGACCATCCTGCTGCTCAAGTGCTGTAAGCCAGAGTAGTGTGTGTGCCACTGCTCCCAGCTGCAGGGCTGACACTGTTCCACAGGGGGGTTTGGGTGATCTCCAGGCACGGCTGTGATCACCTGCAGCAGAGCAGGCTCTGGAAGCAGCTGATGTACCACTGAGGTGTAACTCTGTGCCTGTTCCCCACCAGAATCCCCCCTGGAACAGCTCTGTGCCTGTTCCCCACCAGAATCCTGCCCCAGTTCTGGCAGTGTGTTCCCAGTGTGTGTTGGACTCTCTGCTGGGGTGGGTTCCAGGTTCACCTGCTGTGCACAGAGACCCCACTGTTGAGCCTTGGCCCCAGTACCTGATAGTGCTGAGAGAGAAACAACCCCCTGTGAGTGACAACCTTGTGGCAGCTGCTCAGCTACGAGTGTGACTTAGCACTTTTTTCTTTTTGAAGACCTTCTGTGTTCCAGCAGCCAGTGATCTTTTTGGGAGCTGATGTCACTCACCCTCCAGCTGGAGATGGAAAGAAGCCCTCCATCGCTGCTGTGAGTTTTATTACATTAATGTGCTTTTTCATCTTGGGTAAATGTTAGAATACTAAATGCAACTCACGGACTATGTCTGTGTCAAATACCTGTCAGGGCTTATGCCAGTTCTTTGTACACATTCCCAATGATATTAAAAGTCACGTCTTTAAAAGGAAAAAACAGTGTTTGATACTTCAGTCCGGTTTCTTAGCTCTTTAATTTTTCAGTCAAGGTAAGATAGCATTGTTAAATAATACATTTCTGCAAAAATGTTCTCAAGGAAATAATGCAGCTTGGTGATGTTAACTAGTAACATCTTTGTGTTTTTAAAGGAAAAAAGTGTAACTAAAGGCCTGGTTTGGCAGAAATATTTCTGATACTTCTTACATTTTGTATTGGTACAGTCCAGGAGATGAAGGTGATGGTTGGAGGCTTGGTCAGTCCTCTTCTGGTTTGTCCCCTTGGTATTTTAGTTGCCACTGGTTGCAGTTATGGTAACTGTGTCCATGTTTAAAGCGACTGAGGGAAACTGAGGTGTTTGGCTGTGTAAAAAGTGAGAAAACTTTCAGGGTGCTTGGGGACAATTCTTGTTACCTCTTCTCAGAAGCTGTTAAACCTGTACCTACTCCAGGTTTCCAGTATAAAGCGTTACTCTTGTTTCACATAAGCACCTTTTACTTGAAAATGGCTGCTCTCGGTGTTTTTGCCGTTGATGATTTGGATGGGTTGGATCTCGAAGCCTTCCCTCCCGCCTGTCCCCGCAGGTTGTAGGCAGCATGGACGCCCATCCCAGCCGGTACTGTGCCACGGTGAGGGTGCAGCGGCCCCGGCAGGAGATCATCCAGGACCTGGCCTCCATGGTCAGGGAGCTGCTCATCCAGTTCTACAAGTCGACACGGTTCAAGCCCACCCGTATCATCTTCTACAGGGACGGGGTCTCTGAGGGACAGTTCCGACAGGTTGGTTCAGCTGGGGGTTTCTTGGAGGGTTTTGTTACTCCAGAGTAACTCCAGGTCTCATTTTGTGCTGTTTGAGTTGCTTACATTTACACCAAGGAAGCACAAAGTGCTTTGAGGTCGAGAATTTCTTAAGCACATTGGGTAAGAAGAGTTGCTGCTTCTTTCCTGTCTGGGAAGGGGAAGTCCTAGAACTTGGGAAACCACGTATTTCTAGGTTCTTCCTAAGATTACTAAAGCAAAGTTGCACTTGGTGTTAACTACAACCCCTTTATTAGGTGGTGTGAGTAGAATGCAGTGGAAGGAAAACCTGAACTCTTCTGTTCTCACAGGTTTTGTATTATGAGCTGCTGGCCATTAGAGAAGCCTGCATCAGTTTGGAGAAGGATTACCAGCCTGGGATAACCTACATCGTGGTGCAGAAACGACACCATACGCGGTTGTTCTGTGCTGACAGAACAGAAAGGGTAATCACTGCCCTCTCCAGGGAGCCTGGGGGGAAAGCTTCGTGTCCAGCTCTTATGCTGCTGGAGGAAATATAGTGTGGGCTTCTCTGTCCATCTGGTTGTCTGTGCACTCAGGGAAGTGCTGGACTGATAAAATGTGGCCCCAAATTGAAAAATCCTTGACCTGAGTAGGTTAAACCCCACACACCTCCACTGGAACTGATGTTCATGTGAGTAACCAGGACCAATCCCCAGCAATTGGAACAGAAGAAAGTACAAAATGGTGGAGCCTTTCTTCTGAGGCAGTCGATCCAAGCTGGCAATTCTAAGTACAAATCTCTGTGCAGCTCTTGAGTCTGAGGTGGAAAGCTCTGAAGTGCTGTAGGTGCAGTGTTGGGGTGCTGAAGAGCCATCCAGTGCCCTTGTCAAACCTCCAAGGCTGCCGTAGCGGCACATTCCTGAGGCACTTCATGCGCCAGACCCTTGCCAGTGGTGAATAGAAAGTTGTATTTTCCATTAGAGTTGAGCTGTATGAACAGCTGAGGCTGCACTTAACAAACCTGTTCCCTAGGTCGGACGGAGTGGCAATATTCCAGCGGGGACAACTGTGGATACAGACATTACACACCCCTACGAGTTCGATTTTTACCTCTGTAGCCATGCTGGAATACAGGTACAGTTGCTTCTTTGTAAGTAAATGTGAATTTAGAACGTGTTCTTTTTTCTCCTTTTCGCAACACCTGTTTGCAAACAGTTACTTAGGAGGTAAATGTCATTTTAGCTCAGTTTTATATGATACCACATTATATGCTTAAGTGGTGGTGGTATCTTCTGCACCTTTCAACTTGCACCGATGGTAAGTGATGCTTTTTAAAGTTTATGTTGTAAGAGGTCACTTTTTTTTTGCACCTTTTTTACTTCTGAAAATTAAACTTGCTACTTGTATCAGGATATTGCTTAAAATGAGAAAAAAAATTAACTCTTTAGTTTTTATCATGTAAATGTGACCGCATTAGAATGAGTTTTGTTTAGGTTGGATGGCCATGATTTCTTTTCCAGTTCTGAGTCATTGCTATGTTTTTTTGTCTGTCCATAGGTCTGGGCAAGCTGGCTTTTGGCCATTTGGAAAAAAAAAAGTTATCAATATAAATTGAAGCAGAAACACCAGATGTAATTTCAGCTCAATTTATATTTTCATACAGCAAGCCACAAAAAGGCCTCAAGTAAATTTATACTTCAGATACATGTTTTAAAAAGAGAGACCTGTTGCCTGGCTAAAGCACAACTCTTGACCTGATTCAGGTGCAATGTAAGATTTAACTGTAGTTTCTAGTGCTCATACTTGAAATTAGGATGCTCAGGAGTCGGAAAGAAGTAAAAGCAGCAGTTATTTCTCTGGGAAATGGGTCTTGGTGAGAAAGAGTTGAACTGAAGGTAGGTGAGAAGTGGTGTGCTCATGCTTTGGTCGTGCTGGGAGCAGGTGTAGATCGCTGAGGGTTATGTAGAAGGCAGGTGGGGTTTTATCCAAGCAAGAACAGTTAGAGCAGTATAATCATGTAAATGTTACTTACTCATCTCTAGCTGCACTTAGGGCTGACTGAGAGTGAATGTTCTTGGGCTGCTGTTCCGCAGGAGTTCAGACTGGGCAGTCTGACCCTTTCTGAACTTACTGTGACTTGTCTGTATGGAAACCAGGCGAGTGAATGGATGTCCCCCTCCCACAGGGAACCAGCCGGCCCTCCCACTACCACGTGCTGTGGGATGACAACTGTTTCACGGCGGATGAGCTGCAGCTCCTCACGTACCAGCTGTGCCACACCTACGTGCGCTGCACCCGCTCCGTGTCCATCCCAGCCCCGGCCTACTACGCTCACCTGGTGGCATTCCGGGCCAGGTACCACCTCGTGGACAAGGAACACGACAGGTGAGTGACTGTGTGCTCAGGTTTGTGTCCCCACTGAACCTTTGTTCCACTCTCAGGCCTAAAGCCACCTGACTGCGGTTAAAAAAAACAAACCCAGCTGGGTTTGTGTTTAGTTTTTGTGACCTCTGGGACCAGTCTTAAGATCATCACTGCTGACAGCTGCTGCTCTGCATCAGACCAGGGTGGGTTGGTGGATTCTGGGGAGTAACACTCACTAAAAGAATCAAGTTTAATTTACTGAAGTGTTTTGTTATGGCTTTGGCGCAGTCTGAGGGAATCAGGCGACGTGTTTAGTTTTTTGCTTTAGGATCAGAGTTGCCATGAATGAACCAGATGTTAAGTGCTTCCACTTATCTAACTCTGTACGTCAGAAATATTTTATAACCTTCAAGCCATCAATATATTTATAACAGGCTTATTTTTAGATGAACAAGCTGAGCAGCCACGGTGAAGGGATTTGTGAAAAGCCTCGAGGTTGCTGGGTGAATAGAAGAGTTGATTTTCCTCAGTATTCAGTTCTCTTCCTGGTGCTGTGTTGCTCTGCTGAACGGTGGTGAAGGGTCTGGAGAGCTGTATGAGGAGCAGCTGAGAGAGCTGGGGGGGCTCAGCCTGGACAAAAGGAGGCTCAGGGGGGACCTTCTGGCTCTGCAATCCCTGACAGGAGTGGGGAGCTGGGGGGGGTCGGGCTCTGCTCCCAGGGAACAGGGACAGGAGGAGAGGGAACGGCCTCAGCTGTGCCAGGGGAGGGGCAGGTGGGACATCAGCAGGAATTTCTCCATGGAAAGGGTGGTCAGGCCTTGGCAGGGGCTGCCCAGGGAGGTTTGGAGTGCCCAGCCCTGGAGGTGTCCAAGGCAGGCCTGGCCGTGGCACTCAGTGCTCTGGGCTGGGGGACAGGGTGGGGATGGGGCACAGCTGGACTCTGATCTTGGAGGCCTTTTCCAACCTCGGTGATTCTGTCGGAAGAGATGTGAAAGCAGCTTTTTGATCCGAATTAATGCAATTTACAGCCCTGCCTGTCTCTCCCTCGTTCCCTGCAGTGCTGAAGGGAGCCACGTGTCAGGACAGAGCAACGGGCGAGACCCCCAGGCCCTGGCGAAGGCTGTACAGATTCACCAAGACACCTTACGCACGATGTACTTCGCTTAAGTCAACGACCCGGGAGACACTCACCGAGAGGAGAACTGAGAACTTAAGCCACATACAATGTATGTTCCCAGGGGGTTGGTTTAGGGGCCGTGCCTCCCATCGTGCTGGAGCTGACGCTGTGCAGGGGCGAGAGGCTCACCCTTAAATTGACACGAGGAAGATTGTTTACTTCATCCAGGAACACAGCACTATTATGCAATATGAAACCAGCCAACTGCTTTTTTGGGGCGGGCTCCCGTGGGAAGCACGCCGTCCTTTTTTTTTTTTTTTTTTTTTTAATTATTATTTCTCGTAGTTTAACCCTCTTCTGCCTTTACCTCAAGTTGCTCGGCAGCACAACTATTGTTGCAAAAAAAAAAAAAAATAGTAATAATAAACTAAAATCTATTGTGGAATTTAAAACAAAAAGCAAACCACCTTTTAGGAACAATCACAGTGATTGTTTGGAGGGAGGAAAGTGTGCAAAAAAAAAAGCAAATAATTAAGTTTTTAACCCCCATGCATTGAGGAATCCTCCCAGTATTGCCATCGAGCATTCGAATGTGAACATGTCCGAGTGCTTTGGAATGTGCAGCACTAGCTAGGAAACAGAGAGGGGGAAGTTTTGCACACTAATCCAATGATTTGAACCTAATTTAGCCAACGGCTGCCTTTGTGTCTTTTCTCACAGCTTTGGAGTTCTCAGCTCCAAGAGTTCCCTTTCAAAAGCAATCCAAGAAGCTCGTGGTTCATGTGCAGGCAGTAGTGACCCAACTCTTCTTGCTCCCTGGGGAATTTACTAAAGCTGCTGTTTCACCTAGTCCAAAAGTTTCAATTTTTTCCTATCTGGCAAGTCCAATCTGTTGAAGCTTCACGTGAGATCCAATGTCCCAGGTTTTCTGGGATGACACAGTAACCACCAGAACTGAAACTTTAGAGCTAAGGTCTTTTTGGAAAAAAAAAAAAAAAAAGAAACCTGCTAGTTTACTTGCTGCCTCTCACACCTTAATGTGATTCATATGTATGTGTGTTTGAAGTTTAGCTTCCTTTTGTTTCTTTTATATTTATTAGAGTAATAATAATGCTTTAATTTAATTATTACAGAACATATGGTCAACATCAACTTTTATTTTTTAGAAATGTAACCATGTTTATTTTTAAAAAAAGAAACTGACAACTTGTTTTGCTATCTTTTAGTGCAATAAGCGTTCTAAAGAAAAAACTGTGTCCATTGAGCTGTACTGAAGCAGTGTCTGTACCACGGACCGTGGGAGAATGGACACCTCCAGGATTTTAAAAGGACAAAGTAAAAGCCTTAATTTTGAAAGGAAAGTTTTATAGTCAGAAGGAATCTTGAATTTTCCTTTTTTAAATCAAAAAAAAAAAATTTCAAAAATGCTTCTAGACTTCTGCAAGCTTTACTTGTCGCTGCAGTCTTTTGATTTAACAAAGGAATTGGCCTTATTTTTGGCTTTGAAATGTGGAGCATATTTGAATTAAATGGAAAGGGTTTTGTATTAAGATCTCAGTTTTTACATGCTTAGTTAAACCTATTTGACATCAGTAAAACGTCTGGAATTAATAAAAAGTTTTTAGGCTTTTTTCCTCTTTGATAATGACTTTCCTTTTAAAATTAAGTTATTGGTAACTTCATTTCACTTCGCAAATAAAGAGGGCTGGGATAGTTCTAACATGTTAAATCACTGAAATGTGAAACAAACCGATGGGACTCTTTCATTCCACTTTAAAACCAATGTTTAAGATGTCAGAGACAAGCGTTTATTCAACGAGGGGACTGGGGAGTTTTGCACTTTGTAAACTCGTGAACTGCATTTTTGACTGTTTTTATTTGCACTGGTTCATAGTGTATTTACTGCAGATGTTTGTATGGGCATTGCTGTGATCCCAGCCCTCCTGACCTCCACCTGCTCTCACATGAAAACCAGTGGGTTGGTCTAAGTAGCTTCTCTCCTCTTTCTCACCAAATCCACTGTTTGCCAATATACTGTATTTTGAGCCTAAAATCTGAGCCCGTTTTGCTTCACCAGGCATGAACCTCCCTTTTTTCTGCCAGAAAACCAAGTACTGTATTTTGTGCATTTGTATATTGTATGGAAATGTCCGTAGTGCTGCTCACAACTGTCTGCAAGAGCTTTACTAACAGTTAGTGTAGATACTTATTTTACCTCCCAAAATCAAGGAAAATAATGGAAACAGACTAACTTGGCAACGTTAAAATTGCACTGAAAACAGTCATGAGGGTGGGCAGTGGCTGGGGGTGCTCAGAGAGGAGGTGTGGGGTGGCTGGGAGGGTTCAGCAGATCCCAAGGGATCAGAACCCCTGGAGCCAGGGCTGTTCCCTCTCAGCACCTGCAGACAAGCCTGGTGCAGGGAGGTGGTGGGGCAGAGTCCTTTGAGCAAGGTGGTTTCTCAGTAAGTCTCTCAGATGTTTTTCCCAGTCTGTGACCTGACAGTTTTCTCCTAAAGCTCTCTACCAGTGCCGCTTGTAAAAGGTTCAGCTTAGGCTTTTTACAGAAATTTGTTTTAAGGTAATCTTTTTTAAAAAAATTCTCTGTTTTACAAGGAGTTCTTGCGGAGTTCTGGCATTTAGGTGAAAATTCCTTTTTACAAAGCCTTTTGACTCTCCTTTCAAAGCTGCTGGATGCTTCTCATGCCACCCACGCTCGGCAACTCGGATTTGAGAAGCTTTTTTGCTCGCTACTTTCACCAAAAACTAAAGAACCTTCACTGGCAAAGTGACTTCAGTTGTCAAGGTAACATTGTACCTGGTTTTCATGTGAAGAGTATTTGGAAGTTTTAATCTCTCTTCTTGGTTTTGCAAATATCTACGTCAAGTGCCGATACTTCTTTGTATTACGATATCAAGTTACTGACGTTGTGAGGGCCACACATTTATGATGCTGTAGCTGCTATATTTATTTAAATGGAGATGGACAATTACTGCACTAAGGAATGAGGAGAAAAGCAAGGAATCAAGGTTAGTTAGATATCTTGGTTTTTTTTCAAAAGAGAATTAATGGTGTGAAATATCAAGTGTAACAAAGGGTGCTGTCATTTTAACTGAGATTAAATAGCCAGATATTCTTCTTTTGTTTAAAAACATATATATTTTGATGTTTGCAGTTTGGGGGTGGGGGGTCGGGATAAATGGTACCTCATCTGTGGTGGCAGTTTCCAGTATATTTTCAGAGTATATGGATTTCTTTTATTTTTGTACCTGCTCTCCTTTAAAAACTAAAAAAAAAAAAAAATCTCAAATTTTATGTGCCGTTTGAGGAAACCTTGAGTGGCACAGCAGGTCCCCCCTCTCCTGGCTGTGGATAGTCCAGAGAGGGAGGTGGGCACAGGCTGATGGTTCTTCTTGCTTTGCAGACACCGGGTTTATGCCTGTCGGGAAAAGCAGTTCCCGCCTCCTCAGACACTGAGACCTCACTTGTGCTTAACAAGTGCCACTGAGAGCTCCCGTGGAGGGAGCAGCCCCAGGGCTGGGCCAGGAGTGGCTGTAGGGTATTGCTGGAATGGTGCTGGCTGTGGGGATGGATCCTGGGCTGCTGTCAATGCCCTCCTCACCTGGGGATGGATCCTGGGCTGCTGTCAGTGCCCTCCTCACCTGGGGATGGATCCTGGGCTGCTGTCAGTGCCCTCCTCACCTGGGGATGGATCCTGGGCTGCTGTCAGTGCCCCTCCTCACCTGGGGATGGATCCTGGGCTGCTGTCAGTGCCCCTCCTCACTTGCTGCCAGCTGTGCCGAAACCTGCCATCAGGCCACTGGTAGATCCGGAGTTGGAGGGAATCCTGGAACGTTTTGTGGTCGAGGCATTAAACTTGTGACATCTGCAGACAGAAGGAGTGACTCCCTAAGTCGCCTTTTCTCCTTGGTAGGGGTTTCAGCCGTGGCCATTTGACTCAGGAGCGCTGTGTCACTGTTCAGTGTGTCATCTGGTTACACGTGTCCAAAAGTTATTTTTATAGGGTTCATTCCAGCATCCTTCTGGAAGTTTGTTTGGCCACGGAAATGGTTTTCAGGAGTTAATGGGTTTCTGGAAGCTGTCAGTCAAATTATTTCAAGATGCTCTTGGTCCTAAATGATTTTCACTCATTCATGTATGAATTCTTGTCCTAAAAAATGCTCAGCATGAAATACCAGATAGTCATCTGCTGTACAAATTCCAGCTACAAATACTGGTTTTCTACTAGTCTTAAAATTCACTCTGGTGAAATTCCAAGCTTGAGCTTGAGGCCTTTTGTTTTTCTACACTTTCTTCATATCTTGTCCTGTTCTGATATTTTCCCTGTTTTTTGAACTGAGGGTTTAGAACCTTTCTCGAAGCACTTTTATAACCAAGAAATCAGAAGCTCAGATTATTGTGTACGTCAGACCTGTAAATTCAGTTTTCAAAGGTGGTTGTTTCTCAATGGCCATCGTGGTCTCTGGTCAGGCCAGGCTGATGCTCTGTCCCTTTCAGTGCCGTGGGGCTTTGTGGCTGCTGCTGGCAGATTGGTTGGATCCATGGAAAAAATCAAAGGGAAAGATTCCTGTCTTTTTCTACCCAAAGATGGTACTTTAGGTTGATGCTGGGTGTCAGAATATCGTTTTTATTTTGGCACGTGTTGAAATCAAACTTCACTTAGCCAATTCACTCCTGGTTTTTGTACAGTATCACGGTTGGAGTTTTGTACAATATCACGGTTGGAGTTTGAGCTCGTCAATGCTTTTTGCTGGTAGAAGATTTTGTACTCTCTGTAGTTGAGGTGTGAGGGAGATGGAGACAGGATCCTACATTTTACCTCCCGAGCAGAGTCTTAACAATCCTGATCTGTGTGACACTAAAACCCAAACTGTGGTCCCTGAGTAGGCAAAGGTGCATGTGGAGGGGAAGGAGTTGTAAGGGAGAGGCTTGTGAGGGAGAACATCAAAGCATCAGTTTGGCATAAATGAGGGTGTGGGGGAGACTCCATCCATCTTTCCATCCCACATGCCCTGGCCTTTCAGATCCTGTCTGAGGTACCCCCCCACCTGCTCCGGATCGTTACTGTAGGGTCCTTTTCAAACAAAGCAGTTCCACTGTTTCCAAACTTGGAGTGACTTTTTTTTATTTTTTTTTCCAAGCAAGACAGTCCTCAGAAAGTGCCTTTTTAGAAGATGGTGCTGTAGATTTTTATTTTCCAGTTGTACGTGGCTGCAAATTTAAGATAAATTATTGAAAAATGCCAAGTGTTTGATGGTATCTTTTAGGTACTCTCAAGCATCAGCTTCTCTGAGTCAGGACCAAGAATAACCAGGAAGGTGTTTTCCTTTGGAGGGAGAGGCATTGAGGAGCGATCACCAAACTCAGCTGGTAGGCTGGGCTTGGGCTGGGTTTGGTCAATGTGATTTGCCTCTTCATATTGAGGGGGTTGGGGGTGTGGGGTGTGGGAGAAGCTCTGGGGACGTGGTTAGTGTCCAAAGGAATCCACAGCTACTGGAGGATGTCATCTCTTAGGGGTAGAGACATCCCAAAGATCAAGACAAACTGAAAGGTGTCTTAGGAGGATGTCTTAAGGATGGCTTAGGAGATGGTGGGTCCTCTCATGGCTTGTGTGTGTCCAGGAGGGATGTCATGGACCAGTGTGTCCTTGTGATTCCCAGCTGGGAGTTGGGTGCTCTGGGCAGGAGCGGGTTGGGGGGTGGGTGATGCCATGGAGGGGGTGGGTTCCTGGTGAGTTTGGTGAGCGTTCCTCCAGTCAGGAAAAGCTGTAGACTAGACTATTAAAACACTGCACCTCAGTAACCTTGTAATGCTGCATAAAGTAATAATAATAGCAAAGTTGTGCTTTGATGACACTGTAATGTGCTTGCACATGCCTGCAAAAAACACACACTTCCCTTTTTCCTTTGGTCTGAGTAGCAGTTATGGGACTTTTCTTTTATGATGAGCCTCGTTCTTTCTTGTGATATTTCTGTATATTTATTGGTGGTCTGTGTGCAGCTCATAGGTCTGTGTGTCTGCTCTGTGTGTTGCTTTTAACACTTTATTTTTGGGCGGGAGAAGTTTCTGAATGTTTTGGTTTTCTTCTCCAAATTCAGCTTAACCAGTCGTGTTTGAGAGGAGCCACAGACAGAGGCTTCATTGGTACCTTGTTTCTTTACAACTAAAATGATTTTGTGCATTTTATTACTGTTTATAATGTTGGGCATTTAAGATGTGGAGTAACTTGACATCAGTCAGGGTAGGTTTGAATATCAGGAGCTTCAGCGCAGAACTCACTGAGTAATCCCAAGTGGTATCTTTGCAGGAACGTGTACATGTCCAGACATTTTCTGGGAGCAAGCAGAGCTTCTGGACATCATCAGTGGAATGTGTAGGGTCCAGAGTGCCAGCGTGGGGCAGTGCTGGGTGCTCACACCTCCTCGTGGAGGGGACGCTGCGTGGGGCCCGCGCGGTGCAGCCCCTGCTCCGCTCCCCAGACACAAGTTGACTCTTTTTGCTCTGTAATTTCTTCTGATTGATTCAACTTTGAGACATGAGCCAATGTCTCTTGTAGTTTGTTACCAACTTTCTTGTCTTATTACAGTGCCCAATGCCACTGTGTTGGTATTTAAGCTTGCCATGATGTTCAATTGTTTTATATTCCCAGTTTCTTAGTGTTACTAGAGTAGGGTTTAGAAAGCATTTTTGAGTCTAAGTTCTGAGCCAAAACTGTGTCTCCTGTCCTTTTTAGTAGTAGCTGTTTTTATCTTTTAGACTAAAAAGGGCCAAAAATGTTGCACCATTAGCTTGTTTGCAGCAATATTCTCCATCTCCTCCCTCGCCTGTGAACCGGTTTGTTTCTCTCTACAGTTAGCTAATACTGGAGCTGTTGAAATTTAGAAAGAAGTTGCTGCCTTTTCTTTCTATCAAAAGAAATGAACTTACACCTGACAGAGCAGGTTTCTGTTGGACATAAATCTCTTACCTTGGTATCAATGAGCTGCCGCACACGAGGTTTAATTCCAGCAGAAATGTTTCTGTTTCAGCCATTTGAAGGTGTATGATGATGTAAAGTATCCAAATTAAATAGGAGCTAATAAACCACTAAAAAGAGACACTACTAAAATACTTCAAATTAAAAAAACCCCTACAACTAAACAGCAAACCAAACACCCCAAGGAGTAGCTGTGGGTGGACAGGGAGATGGAGAACCTGTGGGACATTGAGATCCTGCAGCTGCTGGGGCAGCTCTGCAAGAGGAAGAAAGGTGTTGGAAAGAGGCAGCAAGAACAGACTGAAAGTAGCAGATCCCAGTAGAAGTTGTTCAAACTGCTCTAAAAATCGTCAGGTGGGAGAACCTAAATGGGATGTTGAAGCTGATGAAGAGGCAGCAGAACCTTCTTTGCTTCCTGTAGTAAAGAAAAAAGCAAAACTTGACAGCTGATGTTTTCCTTCAGTACCTGAAGGGGCCTTTGATAACCATGGGGATGAACTTTTAGCAGGGCCTGTTGCCATAGGAAAAGAGGTGATGGTTTTAAACTGAAGGAGGGTCAGTTCTGATTATATCTAAGATGGTTTTTATCATGAGGGTGGGCAGGCCCTGGCACAGGTTGCCCAGAGAAGCTGTGGCTGCCCCAGCCCTGAAAGTGTCCAAGGCCAGCTTGGACGGGGCTTGGAGCAACCTGGGCTAGTGGAAGGTGTCCCTGGGTTGGAACTGGATGACACTTAAAAGGTCCTTTCCAACCCAAACTTTTCTGATTCTGTGATCACATGAGGAGAAAAGCGTTTTCCTGCGTGTTTTAGCAGTGCCTGTTCTCCTCCAGGGCTGTGCTGTGAGCAGGTGGCAGTGCCTGGAACGCTGCACCCTGAAATCAAACTGTGGTTTATCCAAACCTTGAAACTCCTTTACTTGGATCAGACCAGGTGCAGGTTCCAGTTGCTTCTGAGCAATATCTGACCCCTCCGTCCGACACAGAAGCCCTGACAGAGTCCTGGCCGCCCTGAGGTGTGTCTGGCTCCCAGGAACAGCAGCAGGCAGGTGCAGAGGTGATTTTGCTGTAGCACTACAGTTGCTCTGCTCCTCCTCAGCTCTTGCCCACCTCCCCATTCCCTGACCGGGGTCACTCTCCCTCCCCTGCCTGTGTGGAATTAGCCATGTTGAGGATGCTGTAGCTGTGTGGAACACAAACTAGCTCTGGGGTGACCAAAGCCTGGAGAAATAAAGGACTGGGTAGGAGGTGGGTGGGTGTCGGGTGAGCTGGGATCAGCTCGAGCCCTTCAGGGACATTGATGGGGACGTCAGCCCTGAGCCTGGTGGTCCTGAGCTGTTTGTGTTGGACTTGAACTCACTGAGAGCAAGCATGTGCCTTTTTCTGACCAGGAACGGAGCTGGAAGAACCTGTGTTTGCATTGGTAGGATGGTTAGTGTTTTTCTGGAACTGTTTTTAAAGGTAGAAGTACTTGGTCAGAATGGAGTTGGTTTTGTGTTTGAATTATTTAATCAAAGTGAGCCCTGAATTATTTATGAATTAGAACTACCCAGAGAGGAGAAGCTTTTAAAATAAGTGGTTTCTGAAGAACAATGTCATCAAATAAACCTACTTCCTGGTAGACTTGCAATTTTTTAAGATAAAATTTAACCTTGATGTGTTTATCTTAATGAAAATCAGTAATTCTGCCTTTATTTGAATGTTGCCTGTCCAGTGATGTCCTCACTCTTTACTGTGCTCCTGCAGCTTTCCATACACTCCATCGCTTCTCCCCTCTCAGGGATGTGGGGAATGTTGTCCAGTGAATGTCGGGGAGCAGTGCAGAGCTCTGGTTCAGTGGGAATGTGGAGCTGAGGGTTAAACATCACAGATAATTCCTCAAGAAGCAGTTTGCCAACAGCAGGGGGTGGTGGTGTCAGGGAACAGAATTGTGTGGTCGCTTGGGTGTGGAAAGAGAGACAAAGGGTGTGAGGGGAGGAACAGTCCCTCATCCTCTGACACCAGCTACCTGTTGTAGACAGTGTGCTGTGCAGAATTAGATACCTGTGTCCTTAGATGCCAGTTTGGGCTTAAAGCTGCTACAAAAAGTGGATTTTCAGACCAAAGTGGAACAGTTTTTCCAACAGGTCCTATTTGATGCAGTTTTGAGATATTGGTGAGTTTTCCAGCCAGGAGCTCCAGTACCAGCTGGCTCTGGAGCAAGTTCCCTCTCTGACCTGGGGGAAACGACTCTGCCTGGTTTCTCATCCAGAAGATGTTTGTGGTGGTTCAGGTCACCTCATGAGAGTGAGTTACTGGGTGTTCTGAGGGTGAACTGTGTCGTGACAGTGGTAACTGCTTGACACAAACCTGTGCACCTCTGCCCGTTTGCCTCTTCAGTGAGACTGGTTCTGTTTGGAGCCTGAGCTCTTCCCTTCCCTCCCATCGCAGCTCTGCCGAGGCAAAGGTCCTTGGGGTCGATCCCATGATGTTTGACATGCTGCTTTCTTTTTTAAATAATCTATTTCTTGTAAAACAGTCAGAGGGCAAGTTTATTTAAATGAAGGGGCTTTTTTCATTGCTGGGAGGTATACAGGTATTTCAAACACATTTGGCAGTTGAAAAATTAACACTGTAACACTAGCAACACAAATACACGACTGTGTTGTGTTTAGGGCTATGCTGGCCAATAAATCATAGATCCACAACCCATTTACGTACAGGTGTGCAAAAGTTAGCTTTTAAAAATAGTTACTAATAAAGTTTCATTATGCTTACACTTGCAGATCTCATAAATATCTTCAAAACTAGTTTCTTTGATAGAAAAATCCACATCTTGCTGGTTAGTGTCCACTCAGACATAATAGCAGTGATGCCCACTGGAGCAGTGGAGAATTTTAAAGAACTTTTGGAAGTTTTGGAACCTGATGGAGTGCCAGCAAAGTGGAAACTTAAGTAGTGCTCCTCAGGTAGCGAGGACGATTGAACACCGACAAAACTCGGTGAGAGGAAGCAACTTTGCAGTGAAGAATGGCTTCTCCTGGGTACTCAGTTTTGTACACCACTCCCCTCCTGTAGCTGTAGTGTTTAGTTTTCTTTGACTTGACTTCTGTTTTGCAGCGAAACCTTCTGATTTTTGCAGATTTCAGTGTTGAATCTCACCTTGAGACGACTTCATGTTGTTTCCTGTAGGAAAACCTGCTTCTAGCTCGTTGCGTTCGGTGTCTGTTTGCAGGCAGGTGTGGAAAGGGAGCTGCAGCACAGCAGTGGAGCTGGCAGGGTGAGTTTTGGGTCGGAAATGTTGGGTTTACAGGCACTGGTGTGCGGATCAGCATTCCACGGATGCGGTGGCACTTTGGGCTCACAGGGTACAGACCCTCCTGTCTGTTGTTCTTGTCCCTTCCCTTGGTGCGAGTAGTTCAGCTCCCCCAGGTAGCCTCATGGTGGATAAATGGTGCTTGTTGGGGAAAAACTGGGCTGTTTACCTGGCTGGAGGTGTCTGATCATGCACAAGAACGTTGTCCTTTAGAGCTTTCACAGTAATCAGTAGCATTTGGTATGAGCCAATCTTAAAAGGATCTTCAGGAGGAGGTGGCTCAGGTGGCATTGTGTGTGCCATACACATTGTTGGCTAGTGAGCTGGGTTAGTTCTGGAGACTGCTGGAAGCGATGTTGTGCATAGAAATCCTACATATTTAAGATCACGTGTTTAAATTGCTAAGAAAAAAAAAAAGAAATCGTGCTGTTTGGGATTTCTTTTCCGAATAAAATTCTAATAATCCAGCCCGGTGGATTGATCCCCTCCCATGTGTCTGCTCTCTCTCATATGCTGGTAACTGCTCCCCTGTTTTGGTGTCCCCTTGCTTCGGCAGGATCGTGAATGTGTTCCCACTGCAAAGGTCCTGGGGGCTTTCGAAGCAAAAGGGAATTGTTTTCAAGAGGAAAGCAGAGCTGTGACTTGCACAAATAGATTGTAGATGGGTGGCAAACAAACTGGTAAAAGCCTTTATTTTTACTTAACCATCTTGACCATGTGTGCCTCTTTGTACCGCGGGCGTGGGCTGCAGCCGTGCGGGGTGGGAGGGAACGTGTCGGTGTTTGAGATGTACTTGCTAAGCAGAAGCCGTGTCCTCTGCCCCTTCTCCCTTTCCGGACGAATTGTTCTTGCCAAAATTTTCTACCTGTTGCAAGAGTTGCTTTCTTTCCAGCACAGTAAAATGTCGACTTCTTTCACTGTTCCTTCCCTCTCGTAGGCATCTGTAACCTCTGTACGACTGTGTATAGGACACAGCAGTCATCGATCTCTGCTGGCTATAGATACCATCAACTTGAGTGTATTGTAAGCGAACCGTATTCATTTGAAAAATAAATTTTTTTTTGAAATGCATATGTAACACCTTACTTTATTTCTACTTTCATCATTTTAATTTATTCCCAAGGCCAGGAGCAGATGGAGGTGGAGGTGTTGGGCTGGGTGGTGGGATTTCCGGGGAGCTCCAGGCACACCCATGCCAGAAAACCACTTACTTCTGATCTTTTCTGTTTGATTTTATTTTAATGCCGTTTAGTTTAAAAACAAACAAAAAACCCCAAACGGGGCCGAGCTCGAAGTGCTCAGGTTGTGGTTTAAACCCTCTGACCGCGTGCAGGAGTCCTGGGCAGGGATGGCGGCTGTGGGGACGGGGAAGGGGCTCTGTGTCTGGGCACTCCCTCCGGCTCTATGGGTCATTTTGTCGCGATTTTTTAAAGTAGTATTAATTACTATCATTAGCTGCCTCGGGTGCCGCTTGGCTGCGGTTTGCAGTGTCCCTGTCCCCGACACCCGCCCTGCAGCCGGTGCCGCACCCGCCGCTGCCCGGGACCGCCCGGCAACGGCCCCGCGCGAGCCCGGGGAGAGCCGGGAACGGTGAGGGGAGACCGGGGATCGGCCGGGAACGGTGAGGGGGCACAGCGCGGCCAGGGACCCGGGCTGGGAGGGCAGCACGGCCGGGACCGGCCCTGAGGGGGAGCGAGCGGGGCCGGGACCAGCCCTGGGGCGGGGAGAGAGCGGGGCCGGGACCGACTCTGATGGCGGGGGGAGAGAGGGCGTCGGGACCGGCCCGGGCTGTGAGGGGAGAGAAGAGGTCGGGACCGGTCCTGAGGTGGAGAGCGGAGCAGGGTCGGCCCCGAGGGAGAGGCTCGGAGTTGCCGAGTGCCCTCACAGCCTCCTCCACCCCTGTGCCCCGCGGTCCTTTGTGCCCTTCCTCCGGGCTGCCCTCCCGGTCAGCCTGTGGTGTCGGTGGCCGTGCCCCAGGGGGCTGCGGCAGACAGGGGTTATCCTGCCCCAGAACCGCACCTGACCCTCCCCGGGTCTGTGGAGAGGGCTCTGCAGCTCCTGCCCGCTGTGCAGGATGTGCTGGGGAACAAGGGAGATGGCTGCAAACTCTGCTGTTCCTGCAGAGCCTTGGAGTGCCCCGGCATCGCAGCCCTGGGCTCAGCCTGCAGCTGTAGCACGGCAGAGTCAGTCACATCATCATCAGCCATTTTGTCCAAGCTCAGTGAACACGGTGTGGGAGCTGGGGCTGTGAGCAGCTCCTTGTCCCTGCAAACAGGTCTCCATTCCCCAGGGAGGGACCGGTGCACAGGGCTTTCCCTCTGAGCTGGGCAGAGGAATGGCACCGATCACCTTCCCGTCGTGAGGACACGTGTCTGTGCTAGGCCAGGTGCCAGGTCACCGTTTGCTGCTGCTTTTGAAGAGCTCTGCAGCCCCATTTCGGGTGTACTCCCATGAATAAACAGATAAATCTTCCCCTCCCTTGCAGTCACCTGCTGAGCGAGATGGCCTCGCTGAGCGTAAAGCCGGGCCAGCGGTTCACCCTGCCGGACTGGCAGAACAACGCCCACCGCATCTCGGCCGATGCCGAACACCAGCGTTCTACTTCCCACCACATCCGGCAGGAAGCACGAGCTCTCCGCAACGACACCGGCAACCAGGTGCGCCTTCTGGCAGAGGGGCTGCTGTAAATCTGCCTGCAGTAACGTATGTGTCTGTACTGTCAGGAAACCCTCCTGTGTGATTCTCATGTCTGTTGCAACTTGTGTTCTCTGTGCTCTCCATTTGTGTAAATGGCTGTTAGGCCAAATGGCAACGTGTTGTGCTCCTGTGTAGGGTCAGTCAGTCCCAAAAACAAGGAGAGGCTTCAGCAAGATTTGTAAACGCAATTTTGAAAAGAGTAATGGCATTTCTCTCTAATTCCAGGCGAGATGGGATGAGTGTGACACCCGAACCCGCCTGAAGGATCGTATTACCAGCGTGGACAGATGGAGAGAGGTCCTGGCCAAATGCCTCACAGACATAGACTTGGAAATCGATGCCTTAACCAAAGTATGTTGGGAAAACAGATGGCTGGAAATCAACTTACACTCTCAACATGGGATGTGAAATAATTGAGGCTTGTCTTGTGCAATGGGCAAACCCATCTGGATTTCAAAGAGGCCTTCTCACTAGATACATTTTTATATATATATATATATGTATATTTTATACTGGGATCTATAGCTGATGGAATGACTTCCTGGAAGACAAACCCCTGTGTGTTCTTGGCTGAGCCAAGTCATGTTATGGAGCACTGCATGCTCCTGTTTGGGTTTCTGGGTGTTTTTTTTGTTGTTCAGGCTTTTTTTAGAGCCCTGAAGGAAAATGAGAAACATGTTAACACCGTCCCTCAAAAATGTTTGGTTTTGACTAGAGAATAGCAGTGGGACATCTCTGATTCTGTGAGTTCTAAACCTGCTGCTCCTGGAGTTGTTTGTCCCCAGCAAGGTGTGATTCCCAATGGCAGTGACAGGTGTATTGGTGGGTTGCCCTTCCTTTCTTCCTCCCCCACACACCTGGCTGACTGCTTCTTCCAGGTGAAGGATGCAGCAGAAGATGCTCTCCAGGCAAAGAATTTGTGTTTGGATGTTGCCATCGAGTGCCTGACGTTCCGCGAGAGCCGCCGCGACATCGATGTGGTGAGGGACCCTGTGGAGGAGGAGCTGCACAGGGAGGTGAAGGTGATCGAGAAGACCAAGAAGGAGCTGCAGCAGCGAGTGGACGAAGCCTTCAAACAGCTCTGGTGAGGAATGACAGCGTTTGGCCAAGCTCTGCCCTCCTTGCTTGTCCCCAGATATTTAATGTGCCTCTCATGCCACGCTGAGACGGGCAGGCAGGGAACCACACAGGAGCCTTGGATGGTTATTGGCAAGGTCTCGGAACTGGCAAGGGCAAGTGTGTCAAGGGAGACTTCACAAGTACCCTTGGGAAATTTTGGCCCAGACAGATCTCTTGTACCACCTGCCTTGGTTCAGGAATCAGCAGCTGGGAGGTGTTAAAGCTCCCAGGCCCTAATGCTCCATGGGAATCCTTTGCAGCTCCATTTTCCAGGGCGATGCCAGCGCAGAGCCTGGGACAGCCAGGCAGGCAGTGCTGGGGCGGGGGGGCCCAGTTCCCAATGGGGGTGGGAGCTCATCCCTCCTTTCAGAGATGACTGGCATGGTGATGAAGCTTTGGGAGTCATGAGCTGCCGCTCCCCTTGGCCTGCTCCCACTGACTCCAGCCTGGCTCTCCGCAGCCTCCTGAAGGAAACTCGGCAGCAGCTGAGCTGTGACCACCGGCACAAGGTGGAGGCGCTGGAACTGGATCGGCAGTGCTTGTCCTTCAACGTCACCTCCGGCAACATCTCCTTCAAGGTCAACCCAACGCGGATCCCAGACGGGTAAGGAAAGAACCTGCCCCTGTGTGGCCAAATCCGGGCTGGTGCCTGGAAGAGCCCTGAGATGGTTTTTCCTTCTGTGCTGTGTCCTGGTTTGATGGATACAGTTTTGGAGAGAGCTCAGAACAGGATTTGGCTCTGGGATTTGCTGTGGAATGGTGAAGCCACAGACTTTTGAGAGCTAGCTAATTTGTCACCACAAACCCAGGCCAGCTGCCAGGCCTCTTGCCTGGCTGTAGGTGACACTCAGTGGTGTGGTGTCACCTCTGGCACAGCTCATGGGGGAGCTGCTTCACATTTTCACTTGGCATTCCCTTCCATGGCTTGGATGTGTCCCTGGTGGAGCAGCTGTTGGGCTCAGTGGGGTTCAGTCTCTGAGGAGATGAAGCAGGATGTGACCTCCAGATTTCTGGAATCATTTTGTGCTGCACAAAGCCATCCTGGCCTGCAGCAGGTGGTTCCTTTGAGCTGTCTTGCAAACACTCAATTTATTTTCTTAACTGATTTGTTGACAGAACAACTGCACTTCGTGAGTGGGAACTGAACAGCCAGTGCAACAAGGATCGTGCTGATGCAGAAATGAAAGCCTCGATCGATCTCCGAGGAGCCATCATGCTCACCATTGCCCAGGTAATGCCCTCTCGGCTGTGGATCCATGGTGCTGCCCTGGATCCAGTGTGGGAGAGTGGCAGGCATGTCTCTGGGTCTGTCTGGGAGCAGCTGACCTCCTGGTATAAGAGAGGAGCTTGGCTGTGCTGTGGAGCTTGCAGCAGTGTCAGCAAGGTGGACGGACACGTACCTGTCCACCGATCCCTGCCTTCTGGCTACCAGGGGAGCATGACCTGCATGCCTTTGGCAGTGGCCAAACCCAGCTGGTTTTGCTCCTGGGTTTGCCCCAGCCTCCCAGCCACAGCTGGGGGCACAGACACCCTGTAGCCACGTGTGACTGGAGCCTGTTCCCTCCTCAGACAAACAATGAGCTGGAGGCTCAGCGGATAGCGACGGAGTTTGCCCTGAGGAAGAGGATTAGAGACATGGAAGGAGCCCTTAGTGAACTGAGATGGCAGGAGAAGAACGTAAGTGTTGTTTCTTTGGTCATCCACCACAACCTGGCTGGGAATCCCAAAGGCTGTGGGTTACATGGAAAGCAGCTTGGCCTGAGCATGGTTTCCACACGTTTGCTGTTCAGTGGCACATGTATAATCCTGGCAGCTCGCACAGGTGCTGTTCTGGGGCCTTTTTATTTCCCCCCTGGTCTCACCCCCCAGCAGCACCATCCTTGCCCTTGTGGAAGCAGAGTGTTCAGTTCTCAGAGATCCATCCCCAGCACAGTGAAATCCCTGGAGCCATGGGGGCTGTATCCCAGTCTCTCTCCTAGGCTGTCCCTCATGACACATGTCTTCATCTCCTCAGACCTTGGAGGAAATTGCTGAGATGGAGGAGGAGATCCGGCAGCTGGAGGAAGATCTCCGGAAGAGAACGCTGGATCTCAAAGTGGCTCACACCCGCCTGGAGACCCGCACGTACCGGCCCCACGTGGAGCTCTGCCGGGACCAGGTACCTGCCCTGGCACAGCCCCTGTGCGGGATGGGGCCTCTGGAAAACCTGGATGAGTTCTGTAGGGGCTGAGCGTTGGATCCTCCAGCGACAGAGCACAGCAAGGAATCAGTGTCACAGCTGGGGTGGAGGGGAATGGCAGAAGTGTGGCCTTGGTCAAACCGCCCCGGTCCCCATTGAGCGCTGCCCTTCCTCCCCCCTGCAGGCGCAGTTCGGGCTGACAGGGGAGGTGCAGGACCTGGAGGCGGCGATCCGAGCGCTCCAGCAGAAGAGGACAGAGTCACAGTGAGTGTCCCGCTCCCTGCCAGGGAGGGGTGGGCATGGGGTGCAGCACGAGGGGTCGGTGCGGTGGGAGGGGAGCAGGACTCCCATGGCACAGACGGCTCCAAAAGGGGCAAAAAGGAGGGTGAAGAGGAAGCAAGAGAAATGCTGCTGTGGGCTGGCAGCTGCCAGGGCGTGGGCTCCCTATTCCCTGCCCCAAACAAGGAGTGTCTCACACTGAGGAATATCTCATGAGTTCGCTCTTTGCACAGGGCCAAATGCTACCAGAAGATGGGAAGTTGGGTGTTTCCTGTCTAATTTAGAATCATGGAATATCCTGAGTTGAAAGGGACCCACAAGAATCATTGAGTCCAACTCTTGGCTCTGCACAGACACCCCAAAATCCCACCCTGTCCCTGAGAGCGTTGTCCAAACACTCCTTGAGCTCTGGCAGGTTGGGGGCTGTAACCACGTCCCCGGGGAGCAATGCAGTGCTTAATCCCAACTCCTCTCCCTTCCCAGGAACGCCTTGGACGCTCTTTACAGACAACTTCACCGCATCCAGACCGACATTGGCTACAAAACCAACTCCCTGCAGCTGGACAACAAGTGCATGGACACCCGGAGGAAACTCGTGATCCCCGTGGAGAAATTTGATCCGGAGGTTGACGCTGTCAACCGGACCAGGAACCTCCCGAGGAACAGTCAGCTGGAGCTGGCTTAGCTTGGGAATTGCACAAAAAACTCCCGGTGGTGACACGATTCCATAGAGCCAGGAGGTTGGGGGAAACATCTGCACCTCGTTAGGAGAATGGAATTCTCCCCCTTCCCTGCCACACCCCCCCCCCACACCTCCCTGCTCTTCTTTTATAAAAAAACCTCTGCCCCTTGGATGATGTTTACAGCGTCCCCGCGCTCCGAGGAGATTTATAAACAATAATAAAAAAAAAAGAAGAGCAGTCTGTCCCCAGTTGTCATCCGAGTGGGATTAAATCCATGTGGATTCCAGGATTTTTTTGGTTTTTTTAGGGCGGGTTTGCTGTCGGGCGCCTCGGTCCTCCGCGACGCTAGGGGGCAGTGTCCGCGGAAGCGCCTCCCGGCGCTTCCGCGGACACTGCCCCCTAGCGTCGCGGTGGAGGAAGACGCAGCTCGGGACAAGATGGCGGCCGCCGGTCCGGCCTCAGGCCCCGGGCGGCTCCCGCCTCGTCCCCGGCCCGGCCCCGCTCGTTTCCGGGGCTGTTTAGCCGGGGCGTTGTTGGGGGATTGCCTGGGAGCCGTTTTCGAAGGCAGGAGCGTCGTGAAGCTGCCGGAGCTGCTGAGTTTCCTCGGAGGGCTGGAACCGGCGCCGCCCGAGGAGGAAGGGGGAGAGGCGGCGGGGAGCGCGCGAGGAGGTGGGTGAGGGAAGGTCGGCCTTGTCCCGCCCCTTCACGCATCCCCGGGGATTCGGGTTGGACCCCGATACCCCTCCTCCCCCCCCGGGATCGGGTTTTGGGGTGCGTGTGTCCCCTCCCTCCTCGGCACCCCCAGCATTGGGTTTTGGGGGGGGTGTCCCCTCAGCACCCCCAGCATTGGGGTTTAGGGGGGGGTGTCCCCTCAGCACCCCCAGGATTGGGGTTTAGGGGGGGGTGTCCCCCTCCTCTCTCCATAGAATCCCCCCAGTCTGGGGTGCTCTGTTTCTGTGCTGACCTGACTCTCATGTGCTTCTGGATATCGATCACCCTCTCCTGGATCCTGTTAACCATGAAGTACATTCTGTCTGGTTTTAGCTGTGGGTGCAGCTACCTGGCTGTGCCAAGAGTGGTTTTGGTTGGAAAGGACCTTAAAAACATCTCATTCCACCCCCTGCCGTGGGCAGGGACACCTTCCACCAGCCCAGGTTGCTCCAAGCCCCGTCCAACCTGGCCTTGGACACTTCCAGGGATGGGGCAGCCACAGCTTCTCTGGGCACCCTGTGCCAGTCAGGCCTTGGGGGTCAGGGGGGTGCTGGCAGAGGGCAGGAGCGGTTTGTCCCTGGCTGGGGGTGTCACCCTGTCCCTCCTGTCGCAGAGTCGCTGCCCTACACGGACGACACGGCCATGAGCAGGTCGGTGGTGCAGTCCCTGCTGGCCAAGGGGGAGTTCGACGAGGTTGACATGGCCAAGAGGTGAGGACGGAGCTCCTGAAGGTGAAACCATCACTGTGGCTGGCTGTGGAGTCGCTGGTAATTTGTGGAGGGGAGAAAATCAGGGAAGTGATGATTGATCCTGTAATTTGGTGTGTGCTTAGCCCTGCCCTGGACCTGCAGCAGCATCGGCTGCAGTGTGGGGTCAGAGTCTGCCTGGACATGTCAGCCCTGTGTGTGTTCACTTTTGGGGAGCAGAATGCCTGGAGAGTTCAGAAACACTTAATTTCATGTTTATTTGTTGCTATTTATGTTCGTACTGCCCTTAATTTAGTGAGGGAATGGGAGTGAGCTCAGCTTGGCTTTGTTTATGATCCATTTCCCTCTGGAATCCCCATCCCTGGGAGCATTTGGTTCCACTTAAGGGAGAGCGTTTCTTTGTTTAGAAAACTCTCCCTCTGAACTTGAACAAAAGACTTTCTTTGTGGTTGTGACCCACGGAAATGTTTCCAGTTTGCTTCTATTTCGAGGCAAAGCTGAGAGGGAAACAAGTGGCTTGTGGAAGGTGATGTTTATACACCCTTTCCTCCTTTCACACTGGTTTTCAGGAATTGTTTCCTGGCAGAAGTGACCCCCTGACTGTCACTGATTCACACGTGTGTTATTAATTCAGTTTAGCAAGAGGCTTCACCCAGTCACAAACACCAGTAACAGACCAACCCCCCCGTGTGTTTGCCCTGCCCTGCCCACGCCAGGTTTGCAGAGGAGTACAAGAAGGAGCCCAACAGGGGTTATGGGATGGCCGTGGTCAACGTCTTCAAGAAGCTGCTGAGCCCCAAGTGCAGCGATGTGTTCGAGCCCGCCAGGGCCCAGTTCAACGGGAAGGGCTCCTACGGGAACGGCGGGGCCATGAGGGTGGCCGGCATCCCCCTCGTCTACGCTGACACCCAGGATGTCAAGAAGGTACCGGACTGTTCTGGGCTCCCGGGGTGTCCCTGGAGCCGGGGCAGCCCCCGGATGGCTGTGCTGACGCCGGGCTTCCCTCGGCAGTTTGCGAAGCTGAGCGCGGAGCTGACCCACGCCAACTCCCTGGGCTACAACGGGGCCATCCTGCAGGCCCTGGCCGTGCACCTGGCGCTGCAGGGAGGGCTCAGCAGGGAGACCTTCCTGGAGCAGCTCATCAGCCACATGGAGCACGTGGAGGCAGATGACAAGTCCCTCAGCGACGCCCGGGCGTGAGTAGCCGTGAGGAAGCACCAGCTCTGCTGTGGTGGCCTGTTCTGGCTCCTCATGTTCTCCCCCCTTCCCTCTCTGCTTGCAGGCTGGGGTTTGAGGATTTACCGTTTTCCAGGCGTCTAAAGAAAATCAAGGAGTTTTTGGAGCTCAGCAGCGTTCCCAAAGCAGATGTGTTGTTTGAGTTAGGTGAGTACCTTTCTTACTATTAGCATTAGGGAAGAGCTGGAAGCAGGACTAACTCAGCAAGACTGGTAGCTGTGTCTTCCCCCAGATTTCTCTTTGTGCTGCCTGTTGGGCACAGAATGTGCTGGAAAAGCTGCCTGTGCTCACCTGTCAGGAATTCTAGTCTCTACCCACTGATTCCCTGTGTTGTGTCTTGCTAAGGAAAACTTGTCTTGCATTATACATCTTAATATTTGAAGATCTCTTAATGACCAGTGGGTTGTCATGTTGAATGGGGACAGGTAGATGTGTATGGCCAGACTACACTGGTGTAACTGGGAGTTGCTCTCTGGGATGTGAGTGATCCTGGGAAACTGGGGGGATTTCTGAGGCACAAACCTTTGCACCTTTTCCTGATAAAACCCATGATACTGGTATGGAAAGTCAGTGGCAGCAGGAAGCTGCAGTTGGAAGGGAAGAGGGAAGGAAGCCCTGAGGGTGATGGCCGGGTGTGTTCCAGGCAATGGCATCGCTGCTCTGCGCTCCGTCCCCACTGCCATTTACTCCTTCCTGCGCTGCATGGACACTGATCCCGACATTCCCGAGCACTACAACGCCCTGCAGAGAACCATCATCTACTGCATCTCCCTGGGGGGGGACACGGACACCATCGCCACCATGGCGGGGGCCATCGCCGGCGCCTACTATGGCGAGGAGCAGGTGCCCCCGAGCTGGGAGCAGAGCTGTGAGGCTTTCCAGGAGACCCAGAGGATGGCCAAGAGCTTGTATGAACTCTACTGCCAGCGGCTCTGAGCTCCAGGGGAGCTCCAGGGGTTTCCTGAAGGCAAAGGGGTGGTCACCTCTGGCTTTGTGGTCAGATCCAGCGGTGGATCCGCGCCATCGGTGACACCAGCGAGCCTCAGCTGGGAAAGGTGCCTGCTGCTGTCAGCTGGGAGCACGAGCTGCCTTGGAAAGGAGGGGACATCCCCTGCAGCCATGGATCAGCTGGGAAGTGGCTGCACGTGGCACCTTGGACAGTGGGTGCAGCTCTTCTGAGCGTACAGGAGCATCTTGTTTTCCGTGGGATTGCTTGCTTTGTCCACCGTTGTGCCATTTGTCATTGCAGTTACTGGCGGGTGTCTAAATCTGCAGACTTTTTCCCTGTTTTCCTCTGCTCCTGTGTCCGTGGCCTGTGTTGTGGTTGGTGGCCCATCCACACCCCTCGCACAGCAGCAGGTCACTCTCAGCTGGCCAGCCAAGGGATGTCACAGGAGTCACCAGAGGCCTGGTGGCCTGGGTTGTCCCCTGTGCTGAGTGAGGATGCCAGAGCACAGACCTCCCAGGGAGATTTGTTTCCCCAAAGGCAGAATGAGAAGTGCCAGAGAAAGAAGGGATTTCTTTGCATCACTGGAGTCACTCTGAGAGACCTTTGGTGCCTGCAGACAATCCCTGCTGGGAGAGGGTGTCCCTGATTGCTGCTCCTCCTGTGTCCTTTGCCCCTGGGATCCAGCAGGCACCGTCACCTGCTGCACTTTGTGTTCCCTTGCCCAGCTGCTGTCACACTGCTGCAGCCACGCTGGCTGCTCCTCTGCTCCTCATTCGTGCATCCCACATTTTTAGTGTCCTGTGTATCCCCAGAGCACCAAGTGAGATTTCTGTTCAAATCACAGCATCACACTACTCTGAGTTGGAAGGGACCCACCAGGATCATGGGAGTGCAGCTCCCAGGGAGACCAAATATGAGGGTGGAGACAGTTGTGAAACCTGGTGTTACAAGGAATTCCTGGTTCTCCTGTGTTCAGTGATAAAAGTGACTTGAGCAAGGTGCAGGAGTTACTTCTCACAATTCTAGTCCTCTCTGCTGGGTAAGAATTACCCAAAATTAGAGAGGAAGGTGAGTTAATTGGGGGAGAATTTATCAGTGTTTAGAAGCAGCTGGTGCTGGTGGCCAGGAATGTTCTAAGCCAGCTGTATTCCAGAATTTCACATTCAAAACCTTTTCCTGGTGGAGCTGGTCAAAAAGGGAGAAACAGCTTGGGAATGGCACGTCTAGAAAAGGGCTGGAAGCTTTTTTAATAATTGAAAACAAAAAAGTCATCATGTGGAAGCGTTTATAAATTTGAATGTGACAGTGTGACTCTTGTTATTTCTCCAGTATTTCTTGTGACACCGGGAAGCGCCCGTTGTGCTCCCCGGTGGTGTTGGCACGTGGTGGCTGTGTCAGGCTGCATGCACATGTGGGAATCTGGCTGCCACAGGTCCTTCCAGTTTTCCCTGTAGCCTGCTTCCTTCAAGTGCCAGTCTTTTGTGTGATGCTTTAATGGGTTTTCCTTGTATAAGTGGATTCTTGTCCTGGGAACATGTGGAATTTTGGTCTGTTGTGTATTTCTGTATTGTGCTGCAGATCTGAGCTGTAAAATGCCAGGTTTTCCACATTATTCTGCCAGAGAGGCGACCAGATTCATGGAATTATTTAAAAGAAGATATTTTTCTTTTAAAGCAGCTTTATAATTTTAAATGTTTGGAGCTCACGGAGAGCAAAGAGCTCCT